CCCACAACCTATCTGTTTAAAGCATTCAAAGGAGGGCTGAGGAGACTAAACATACTGTTCTCTCATTTAAAAAAAGTAATTTAAATTATTTGATGACTGGATGAATATGTTGTCTAACTAGCCTGCTGCTTTTCGGTAACTGCTCCTTCATCTTTTCTAGATCTTAAATCTCTCTCAACAAGTTTATGTCTCACAATTACGGATACTGAATCATAAAGGAACAAAGTGTACTCTCTGTTTTTTCTACCTCCAGTTATGAAAGTCATGTAAGAGAAAGCTAATGAAACAGCATTCATAAAAACAGAAGAATTAGTTTAAAAATTCTGACTTGGTTCTAGTTTACAGAAAAGATCATTCGACATAGATTACTGAGCTCCAATGTACCAGGTATAGGGCTAGGGAAACAACAGAAAATAAGACAAAGTCCCTGCCTTCAAGGGGCTTATTTACATTTTAACTTACAGGCATTATTTTCCCTTAAAAGAAATTTTTTTTCCCTTTGAAAAAAATTTTTTAGAAGATCTTATTTATTTATTTGACAAAGAGAAAGAACAGCAGGCAGAGGGAGAAGCAGACTCCCCACTGAGCAGGGAGCCTGATAGAGGACTTGATCCCAGGAACCTGAGACCATGACCCAAGCTGAAGGCAGACACCCAACTGACTGAGCCACCCAGGTGCTCCCTTTGAAAAATTTTAAGTGGGGAAAGTATGTATGTATTTTTAACAGACACAACAAAACTTCCCACTGTCAGCTCATGGGAAAGAAATCCAAATTCACAGATTCTAGATTTGGACAACCATGGTAATTTAAATAACATTCTGCTATTGATTTTACTATCACACAAAACAACATGGTTATCATAGTGAAAACAACAAAAGGTATTCTAATTGGCTAATTTCTTTTTCAATTATCAATTTTTTTTTAAAGATTTTATTTATTTATTTGACAGAGAGAAATCACAAGTAAGCAGAGAGGCAGGCAGAGAGAGAGGAGGAAGCAGGCTCCCTGCTGAGCAGAAAGCCCGATGTGGGGCTCGAACCCAGGACCTGGGATCATGACCCGAGCCGAAGGCAGTGGCTTAACCCACTGAGCCACCCAGGCGCCCCTCAATTATCAATTTTTTTTTTTTTTAAAGATTTTATTTATTTATTTGACAGACAGAGATCACAAGCAGGCAGAGAGGCAGGCAGAGAGAGAGGAGGAAGCAGGCTCCCCGCTGAGCGGAGAGCCCGATGCGGGGCTCGATCCCAGGACCCTGGGATCATGACCTGAGCCGAAGGCAGCGGCTTAACCCACTGAGCCACCCAGGCGCCCCTCAATTATCAATTTTTTAAAACAAATTTTAAGCCATCTCTACACCCAAAGTGGGGCTCGGATTCACAATCCTGAGATCAAGAGTCACATGCTTCACTGACTGAGCCAGCCAGGTACCCCTCAACTATCAGTTTTTGGGGACAGATAAGGGAAGGGGATAAAGAAGGAAGAATATAATTTGGTCTATGACTTTATCTTACTCATGACCTCCAGGAAGTGACTCATTCCCATGACTTTAACTTTACAAAAACTGGAGCTATCTACCAATATGTATCAATAGCTTGGTTTAGAAGAGGACAACATTTTATTTTTATTGAGCATTGTTGTCCAATATGATGTATAAATTATACAAAATCATATTTTGCTCCCTAGGAGTTTGTGTACAATCTATGAATACAAGAAGTAACATAAGGCATAAATCGGTACTCATTTCTTTTAAATGTAGGTTGCTTGGAAAATAGTCCTATCTCTTTTATGTTTGAGTCTTGTGGCTGGCTCTCGCACACTGGGAATCTAATAAGAAAAAGAAAGGTATTTTGTTGACAATTTATTATCTCTCCATCACTCTAGGTGTTACTAGGTACCAGCAAAATATCCTTTGCTGTTGATTGTGTTCTCCTGGCCTTTCAAATCCTTCAACATTGCCTCTCACAATGCCTGTATCGAAATTTAAAAACAGGCAACAGCTGGCTTTTTTTATGTAGTAATAACTTATTTTGTCGATTAGAGTTAAGCTCTCTAAAGGCAGATGCTTAGTCATGAAATAATTCCTGCAGCAGTCCTGGTTTTAGTAGAAGCTAGACCAATAGTGAAGATGAGTACCTGCTTGAAAACTAAGATAACATAGTTAAAACCTCTAAAAATTGTTTCCCAGTGAAATAATTTTCTAAGCATTTCTCCTCAAATATTTATCATATTTAGAGCACCCAGGCTATCACCTTGCCTCCTTAGGAACTTACATAGCAAATTACCCACCTTTATAACCTTACAGTGAGTATTCACTGAGTACCTATGTGTTGTCCAAAGACACCAAGCAGCATGCTCAGTGAATTTAAAAGACAAATCCAGGGGCGCCTGGGTGGCTCAGTGGGTTAAGCCACTGCCTTCGGCTCAGGTCATGATCTCAGGGTCCTGGGATCGAGCCCCGCATCGGGCTCTCTGCTCAGCAGGGAGCCTGCTTCCTCCTCTCTCTCTCTGCCTGCCTCTCTGCCTGCTTGTGATCTCTGTCTGTCAAATAAATAAATAAAATCTTTAAAAAAAAAAAAAAGACAAATCCAGGGGTGCCTGGTAGGCTCAGTTGGTAGAGCATACAACTCTTCATCCCAGAGTTGTGAGTTTGAACCCTAATGTGGGGTGTAGAGATTACTTAATAAAAGACAAATCCAAATCAGGGAAAGTAACCTCAGATGGAAAGAGACTACTGTGGTACCATTATGTTTTTTATCTGGGTTTTCATACCTTTTCTAACTTAAGATTCAAATCCCCGAGGGAGAAAACTCTGTTCTTTGCTAGTACCCAGTGCATACTCAATAACCAAAGTTATTTAAATTAGCACCTATATATTGAGCTTGTCATTTTCAATGTCCTTTACCAACCACAACCCAAAAGAAGTTTAAAAGATATAAAGTAGGTACATTAGTATTTTTAAAAGGCCCTTTAGGTCTTAAAAGCCACAGTACTCTTTTTTTCTTACAGGAGTATTTTTACATAAAACACAAGATTCTCTCAAAAGCCCAAAGTTTGGTTATGTAGTCTAACCTGTCAGATGCGGCATGCTCGTCCTACATGCCTTTTGGATCTAAGCTAACGATCCCGTGTTCTGCTCTCCAAACATGGCCAAAAGACACAAATTATAAGTACTTGTGGGATAATCACACCTTTGGGACTGAACAATGGCTCTTCCAGTTTATTATGTCACCTAACCTAACAGTGACAACACAATGTCAGAAGTCAACATGGCTAAAGATGCACTGTGGGGTTTTTTGTTGTTGCGAGTCTAAGATTTCAGGTGATGACGAACACTCTTTTTACAGATCAGTTTCACCGCTCTAGCCTATTCTACCAGGATATACAGATCTGTCATCAGGATTAGTTAGTTGTAAGAGCAGGAAATGGATTTATCCCTAAAATCATCAAGTCTTTCATAGGCAAAGTACTTCCCAACAACAGTTTTGGCTTTACAACAGGCCTCCCAAAGCCTTCAAGGTAGGAAAGGAGTACGCGGTGGCACGCAGAGTGCAGACGAACTGCCTCTACAGCGGCTCTGCTGCTCAGGAGAGGGTCAGGGACAAGGGCCTCTGGCCCGTCCCAGTACTTTGCCCAGGGAAATCCGTGTCCCAAGTCCCTAAGTTAATATTAACCCGGCCCAAGAAGTTTCTCTGGGCAGTGCGTGGACTAGCCTCTCTTCACACAGTCTTCCATCCGCCTCTAGTGTAGCAACTACAACGCAAAAGCATCCGCACTCGGGTTGTTTCCCTCGGCGAGACCTTGACGCAATCGCAGGCAAGGAAGCAGTGATGCGGCAGGCTCCGGGTGAATCAGGGTGTTCAGGGAAAGCGGCGTCAAGTTCGTGGAAACCAACCCTGGAGTTTCTCGCTCATCCTCCAGACGCTCGTCTCCCCTTCCCTCACTCCCGCTTTCCGCTCCCACTGACCTGGAAAGCGCCTCAGCTCCTCCCCACTTACCGAAGTCCTCCCAGGGCCTCGACCCTCGGGTGGGCCCTGAGTCAGCTCGGCTCCGCACCCTTTCCGCCCTCAGGAGAGCGGTTCCCAGGCCCGCGCGGCAGAGGGACCGAGGTTCGGGCCTACTCACTCCTCCTGGTAGCCCTATTTCGGATTTATTTGGATAGCTAGACTCAGAGCAGGGAGTCGATCACGCGTTCGAGACACCCAAGGGAACACCCCCACCCCTCCAGCAGGGTTTCGAAAGAGGCGACCAGGGAGCGGCTGTCTACAGTCTCGCGAGAGGAGGCGGGGCCCCGCCCGGAGTTCTCGGCCTCTCCCTGCCCCACCCTCCCCACGTCCCCCGCCCTCCCTCCCCCACTCCCCGTGGCGCGAGCGGCCGACTGAACCTGGAGAGGAAACGGCATTCGGAGCCGCGCTCCCGCCCAGACCGGCCCTGACGCGGGCCTCGTCAGCCGGTAACGGGGAGCAGAGGTGGGGGTCAGGGAGGCGACCACGAAAACGGTGAAGGTCAGAACCGAGGAGCCTCCTCCGAGAAGGGTGAGGAAAGGGTCTGAGCCTCCCTCCACAGACTCCGCAGAGCTGAGGCGGGGTCGACCCCTCCCAGGGGCGGGGTCGCGCTGGGCAACTGCAGCCCAGGGGACTGACTGGGCGGGGCGCGCCAAGAAAGGGGAATAAGGGGTCAGCTCGGGGTTGAGGGCTCCCCGGCGGCGGGAAACAGGAGGTGGGCTGTGGAGCTGAGGCCGTGGGTGGGGTCCTGGAGCTGGGACTCCGGTGACTGGCTGGGGAAGCCCCGGGGCCAGCGGGTCCCTTCCGCCTCTCCTTTGGACCCTGACTGGAGGCCGGCGGGGGTGGGGGCTGGGGAGGGCGAGCGGCGCGAGGGGGCGGGTCCCGGCGCTGCTCAGCGCTGATTGGCTGAGCGCGTGTGGAATCGGGTGATGGGAAACGCAGCCCGGCTCTCCCGTGCCCTACTGCTCCTCTCCCTCCCCCCCGTGGCGAATGTGCTGCGCGGCGGCGGGTGCTTACGCTCGCGGGGTTTGGCTGTTGCAGGCAGGAGCTGGGAGGAGGCGGCAGCGGCAGCGGCAGGAGCAGCAGCGGCGGCGGCGGCGGCAGCTGGGAGGAGGTGGTGACGGTGGCAACGGCAGCGTCGGGGACGATGGCGCGACTGGTGGCAGTGTGCAGGGACGGGGAGGAGGAGTTCCCCTTCGAGAGGAGGCAGATTCCCCTCTACATAGACGACACCCTCACGGTGAGCGGGCCGGGCCGGGCCGGGCTCGCCGCTCCCCTGGCAGCTGTTTCCCCTCCTCCCCCTCCCCCAGGCCGAGCGCTGCGCACTGGAGAAAGAGTGTGTTGCAACTCCTAGGCGAGGCCTTCTCTCCGGCAGGCCCCACAAACTCGCCTTTGCAGTGTGTCGCACGGTAGCCTCTGCGGGCCCCTGGCCCAGCGCTCCGTAAGCATTTCGAGCCCCTCTCGCCAGATTTTCCTTCCCTTTTGAACCCTCTTCCTTTCCCCCGTGTCTCAGCAAGGCGCTGCTTTTGCCAAAGCACGCGCCTCGGAGTGGGGTTGAAGGATCTTGGGCGTTTAGGGCCTATATCCTTTACAGAATCCACCTACCCTCGGGGAATCTTAATTATCTGGAAATGTCGCAGCTGCACTGCTACCTGTATATTTTTTCTCTCAATACTGTAGCTCACTACAGAAGCTTAATTACTTAGGGCGGAGTGACATGCTCTCGCACAGTAAAGATTCCACTAAAATGATTTGGTTTCATTGTAAATAGTGTCATATTGCCTAGTACATTAAAACTCCCTGAAATGACTGTATTGGTCGGCCGTGACTCTTCAAAATGGGCTTTCTTGGCAGTAGTTGTTTTTTAGTTTGCAGGTAACGTTTTCTTCTTCTTTTTTTTAATAAAGCAAAACTATTGAATGAAGAGCATTATAAAAAGCTGATTGCTCATCTCGAGTGTCAAAACCCACTTCTGGGTAGTTTTCTTTTTTAGAGTTGATGGTAGTACAGCATTACTGACCCTCTGCCCTGTGTTGCTGTACTGTTTCCTTTGAAAGGAAATGGCAGAAATTTGAATTGAATCTGAACAGGAAATGAGTGCAGTTGCTTGCCACTATTTCTTAAGAAATGAAATGAACCTTTTCTGAATATCTTGAAATTTGCATTTTGATGATGCTGAAGCTTTGGGTTATACGTTGCCTATTTTGATAGGTGTAACTCAGTCTCTTCATTATATTATCTTTGCCTTATTGCTTTTCAGAGGTAGTTCTGTTTTGTTCTTGAATATTTTTTTGCAAATATCTATTGAAGTTTTTTCAAATTTTATATAAAATGCAAGTCATTGTAGAGCTGCCACTCTATGCCTTTCTGTTTGCCAGTCTCAATTAAGACTTGATTGAGCTGCAATACTTTTAAAAGGAGTAGAAGAGCCATTTGGTGACTTAATTTGTTAGAACTTTTTATGTGAAAGCATCTTTTTTTTCATGGAAAGAAAGTGCATTTTTTTTCCCCCATGGTAAAAATTATTTGGCCTGACATAAAGGTAAATAGAATTTGTGTTGATGCATTAGGAAGTGTTTGTATGCCTTGGTTATGATTTGTGTATTTTTTACATTAAAAGTATAATGGAGTTATATTTGAAGTTAAAAAGAAAAACTAGCACTTTGATCAAATTAAATGATGCATTTCTCCATTTGAAAACTCCTAATATGAGTTCATTGTTGCTTTCTTCTCTTCCTCTTACACACTTTTCTAGAGCACATAATTTGGTATCAACTTTGATTATTGTCCCAGAATGCCTTTGAAGTTTAAAAACCAATGGGTTTAGACATAAGATTACTTATGAGTGTATAATATCAAAGCATAGGGAACGTCAAAATAAATTTGCATATTTACAGCATTTTAAAAGACACTTAGTGACACTTTCTGACACTTCCTATGGTCACATAACCACCTTTCCTGTGAGTGCAGCATTGACACATCTGTCATATAGCACTTTAAAACAGTGGCTGTTTTTATACTCTGTTCTATGTACAACAATACTGATTTCTAAAATTTTCCATGGAAAAAAATGTAACCTTGCACTGTGATACATTATTGTACTTATTTCTCCAGAAAATTGGGATTGGACTGAACTTGGTGGTTGAGTTTTCTTTTTATAGACTTGTGACCAAGGCCAGTAAAATCTAGGGTCATTTAATTTAAATATCTCAAAATAGCATTTTATTTAGGAAAAGGTGCAGTTTTTCTTCAGAAGGGTTTTTATCACTAGGAATGAATGGGACTATTTATTGCTTTGTCTTGGAACTTGTGCATAGTCATTGAATGCTTAGTGAAATTTCTTGTCAAGAGTGTCTTATATTTAGGGAAACAACTTTCTTTCAGAACTTTTTATTAATTACTACTCAGAAGAATGCAGAGCAAACACCTGTTGGGGAAGAGGGAGGGAAGATACCTGTAGCAGAAGTTTATGCTCTGCACTGGTCCACTAATGGTTTGATGGCAGTGTATCCCTGAAGTTAACATTTGGTCTGGTCTTTGTTCTTAGGGTTGGTAGGTAATGCGTTGAAAAAACGTGTGATCTTTATTTCATGTAGTCTTAAAATCTTGTTAGCGCCTTCTTGTTAAGTCTGGTTACAGCTTTCACAGTTCAATTATAATTGTTGTATCGTTTTAGTAACAGAAAGTTGAACCCTCTACCCTTAATTCTACCGGTGATTTTAGGTTGGATTTGTAAAATGAAATTGAGAAGCTTGTATGGGAGGAAGTAGTCTCCTCTTTTATGTGGTATGTTAAATCCACGTTTAAGACTCATTTGGTAATTAAATGGGTTTGAATACTTGAGTACAGCTAGTATAGGTGTATTTGAGAAAATCCCAAAGAAGTAAGTTGGTGGAATATTTAGGAAACTGGTATGCTGTGTAGCCAAAATGCTTTCTGGTGTTACTGGAATTGTAAAATAGCAAATAGGCAGAATATGGATTTTATTTTAGAGATATTTTTGGAGAATTGCAATTTTTAAGTAGTATTTTTTAAAAATTGAGTTAAAATTTATACGCTTTTTAAAATAATCTTGAAAAATAATGGTATAACAAAGAAAAAAATTATCTTTACTTCTACTTCCCAGCGAAACCTAAGGAGATAGCAGCATTTGCTGTAATTCTACTCATAGACACTTAGATGCAGAGTTGATATGTATTGTCTACTGTAACAGTTTATATCTGGCTTTTTTTCACTAAATGTAATACTGAGAACATTTGTTCTTGTCATTCTTAAGTAGCTTTATTGGCCATGTAATAATTTGTTGTGTGACATCCATAATTTAATCATTATTCCTTTGTGGATATAGGGGTGATTCTACTTTTGACTATGAATAATATTACAAGAATATAAATAATGCATAAGTCTATGCATTAAAAATTTTTTCCTCAGGCTTTGGAAGTACAGTTACTGGATCAAAGGAGAAGAGCCTTTTGTAAAGTTCTTGATACATAGTGTCACATTGCTATAATATTGCTTGGAAGCAGTTTACTCTCCTGATAATTCAAATGATCTAACTGGACTAGAGACTCTGATAATGGGTTTTAATGGAGACATCAAAAGATAGTAAATGGTAGCATATTCACTTGGGGATTAGGTGTTTAGCATTTTTAAATTTAGTACTTAATGTTTTCTTTTAACTCTTAAATATTTAATTGATTTTACCAAAGGTGATAGATGTTACAATTAGCTGGGAGGATAAAGTAAAAAAGTAAAGCTACAGTGACAATGACTTTTAATAAATACAAATTTAATATTGTTGGTTAGAGATTGTGAGAATGTGCTAAAAACAGATTATTTGTGGTCAGGAGAAACCAGGACAGATATTTAAGAGTGAAAGTGGGTAATGGATTCAATAAACTTTATAAAGCAGTAATTGCAGGACAATTACTGGTTCTATTTTTGGCCAGCTAGGGAAAGGCAACCTCATCATGAAGCAGAACACTAATGATTCCTCTGTGAAACCACACCTGAAATACTTTTCATGACTGTCTTCCTTTAGGTAACCTAGAATCTGAAGATTAAGTCAAGGAAGTGGTTTTAAAGAATGGGAAAAAATAGTTCTACTTTCCTCTTTTTCCTTTTTTCTTATTGTCCTCTCTCAGTGTTAAAGAGCGTATAGTGACTGTCCAGAAAACACCAAGGTAAAAAGCCATTGTCCTCAGTGTTTGAAAGGCAAGAACAGAATAATTTAGTGTGAGTGCAGAGTTTGTAACCAGGGTGCTATAGAGTAAGTACAAGAGAAAATTTAGTATTATACAAGCCAGTGAAACCCAGGAAAGACACAGTAATAGACTTAATCTTGACATTTATCTCTGCTGGTTAGGGGAAAATCAAATGACCTGAAATGAGGATTTAAAAATTTTTTTAACCCTGTCCTTTGTTGTACCTTTTGGAAATGATTCCTAGGGCCCCTGGGTGGCTCAGTGGGTTAAAGCCTTTGCCTTCAGCTCAGTGGGTTAAAGCCTTTCCCAGGGTCCTGGGATCGAGCCCCGCATTGGGCTCTCTGCTCGGCAGGGAGCCTGCTTCCTCCTCTCTCTCTCTCTCTCTCTGCCTGCCTCTCTGCCTACTTGTGATCTCCATCTGTCAAATAAAATAAATAAAATCTTAAAAAAAAAAATGATTCCTAAAGCAGGTATTATCCATTAAATTGTATTTTTAAACATCAGCCGTTAGATCTCAATATGTTAGATTTTGTTCTTTGATCTCTGCTTTAATTATTAAAACAATAAAATATATTTGATAAGAATAAAATTTCATTTATACAGAGTCAGAATTTAAGATTTTACCTATAAACCAGACTGGAGAGACCTTGATTTGGTTAAATAAGAAGCATGCTTTGAATGTTCCTTAAATTGGTAGCTTTGATCTTAAAATAGTACAGGTAATTATCTTAATTTTTTTATGGTGCCAATTGATATGTAGTAAAATGGTGTACATTTGTATCAAACAAGTGAGAATGCAAATCAAGGTGTTAGTTGCTTAAGTGGTAGATTTGGACTGACCTGCAGTGTTGTCTTGAGTTACATGGCTTTAAAAGTTTATCCTATACCTTTTTTCTGACTTGACAGTTCAGTTTCTTTGTATTTTAAACCATGTAGTGCTGACAAAAAACGTGAGTTAACTGTACAGTATTGCTAACTACTTTTATGTTTTATACGTTTTCATGGACCAGGATTTCTAATAATGGGATTATTAAGTTTTTAAAAAATTTGAGTAGATTCTGTTAAATATTAAGTACAGTGGACAGTATGGATCATTAGATTTTTTTGCACACTTCTGTCATCCTCACTTGTTCATTTAGAAACACCTTGTTAAAGCAGACCAGTGACCAATTTTGCTTAGTACTAGTGGTTAACATAACGAAATTGCTTAGAACAACACCTAGTATATATGAAGTTACACTAAATGTCTTTATTATTACTACTGCCAGTCTTTGGAGATACTAATAAGACTGTAAGAGGGAGGACTAGAGAGAAGTCAGTAAACCTGAAAATTGGTAATTGATCCTTGAACCTATAAGATTTGGACATAATATTCTATGTGTGTGGAAGAAGAAACTTCCAGAACAATAAAAGCTCTTGAGATGGAAGCATGTTTCTGAATTTGGTATAATGAACATAGAATTGGAAGCAAGGAACACTAACTTTTCCCCTTGGTAATAAACAATGTATGTGCATTGTAATAAATTTGGGAAAGGTAGGAACACATGAAGGAAAAAGTCTTATCTTTTCACTCTGTAGAGATAGACCACATCTAACACATCATATATTTTCTTTTTCTGCAAGAAAGTACCCACATACAAACATTTGAATCATTTCGTAATGCAGCTTTTGGTTCTGTGAAATACAGTGGTGTCCTGGATTGTTGAGTTCTTGGTATCCCTTTGTCTCTACTTCACATATCCTGTATTCCCCCCATATCAGATCAAGAGAAGATCTATCTATTGCTTATACTTTATTGTTCCGTCCTTCATGTATTGTTAGAACAAGCATGTTTTAGGGCTGTCATTTCTAATCTGGAAGAAAAAGAATGGTCACGTCTATTAAGAAAGCAGATTTTTGTGGTGCTGGTTGTTGAAGAAGGAATCTTTTTAAGATCATGTTCAACTGGTTGGGGCATTTTTAGTGTTTTGTTTTTGCCTCAAATATATCTCTTTATCATGACTTCACTCTTTGGGTATGTAGGAGTTTGTGGTCCTTGTCATTTGGAAATAGAAGTTGTCCTAGTACAGTATGTTTAATACCTTTAACAATGTTTTAGTTAAGATATAAATGTGTTACTTTATTTCATTGTTTTGAAAGGCGTACTTTTTTTGCCTGTACATTTTACCATCTCTGAAACTGGGATGTTTCTTTTATATGGTGACATCTAACAGTTACAAAGTCTTTTTCCTAGGGGTATGTGACTTTGGTACTTTCTAAAATGAGTGGTGTCACAGATCAGTGACATGTGCTAATTAATGATTCTCCATTATCTGATATGCAGAAATATCTTTAAGCTTTATATCCCTCTTCCTCTGGTAGGGAATTTTGATAATTGAATAAATATCTCTGTATCCTTTTGTTCCTAATTAGAGCAAACATTTAATATATGTCAGGTATTGTTCTGAGTATTTCATATATGTTGTGAGATCTGTATGTGTATGGCCATTTGCATAATAATTAAGAGGAATAACTCAAAGTATGTATATTTAATGTAAAATATCAGGCTGTTTTACTTATTATTATTGGCCACTGCAACAAACACTTTTAAATGTAATTTAATCTTTACAGTCTACTTTGTGAGAGATATTAAACATTATTACTTAATCTCATTTTACAAATGAGGAAGCTGAAAATCAAACAGGTTAAGTAACTTGACCAGATTTATGACATACTTTAAGTGGAGGAGCTGGGATTTGAACTCTTGTTTGTCTGACTTCAGTGTCCTTGCTTCTAATGACTATACCATTCCTGGCTTTAGAAACTTGTGGGTGGTGGTGGTGGTTGTGGTGATTGTCTTAGCTTCTTTTGACAGGGGGCAGGACTGGGATGTACTAATCCTGCTTTAGGGATCTATTTCTGTTCTTGGAGTGTATAAAATAGTTTGTAGCACGTGTTCAAAGAAGATACAGTAATTGATTTTCATTCTTTTGCATATTAAGATGGTGATGGAATTCCCTGACAATGTTTTAAATCTCGATGGGCATCAGAATAATGGTGCACAACTAAAGCAGTTTATTCAGGTAATATTTTTTAAAATTAATGTTTTAAATGGTGTGTGTGTGTGTGTGTTTTGAAGAGTCATTTCAAAATTTTAGCTTTAAGTATTAATATCATTTTATCTGGGGCTCTCTAGGTCTTAAGATTGCACTGAAATTGCTTTCTTTTAGAATTGCTACATATTTATGTACTTGTTACTATATTTATGTACTTGTTATATGAAAGAAATTTGGTGGTGTTGTGTTGTACATGTCCCTATGGCTTTACTTTCACCAAGCCATCTTTCCCTGTTTTTGAAAGATAGGGTATACAACTTTTCATTGAGAACTTGTTGGTTTTCTTCTGTAGTGGTTGTTTTGTTCAAGTTTAAAAAAAAAAAAAAAATCCTGGTACTGTGAACTTCATGATTTGTATTTAATTTTTAAACAGTATGATACCTTATAAAACCCTGTATATAATCAAGATAATGGAAGGTAAATTGTTGCTGTACTTCAAAATTCTATTTCTACTTTTGGAGAAAACTTTGAATGAAAGATTAATGGTAAATATGAGGAAATTCTTAGGATTATCTTACCCATCTTTTCTGGTAAAGCTAGAAACACTATTTGTAGTATAACTGTAACTCCATCCGATAGAAGTTATTTACTAGAGTTTTGCCCATTTCTCTACAGCTGAGGTTCTCAGTCATTTTTCTACCTTGTCATAACCAACAGATAACATTCATATGCACCACCCTGTTAGTTACTCACTGCAGGCTTCTACATAGGTATGATAGGCCTTGTTCTCTCCCACTAATCTGTAACACACCCGTCCATACCTCCAGGTTGAGAATTGCTGCTTTGCATGAGCACCATCCTAACTTGATTCTAGTAGCTAAACATAGTGTTCTTGTTAAAAATTGAGAGGAAGACATGGCAAAGCTGCATTCCATCTTTTTTGTTTGAACATTTTTTTTGAAAATTGTATTTGTTTGCAAGAGAGAGCAGAGATAGCAACAGAGATAGCAGGAGAGAGCACAAGCAGGGAGGAAAGGGAGAAGCAAGCTCCCCGCTAAGCAGGGAGCCCTCTGTGGGACTCAATCCCAGGACCCTGTGACCATGACCTGAGCTGAAGGCAATTGCTTAACTAACTGAGCCACCCAGGTGCTCTAAAAATTTTTTTATTTCAAGTGAGTGTACTAAGGTTAATAGTCTCCGAACAAACTGAATTTCCAGAGGCAGGGCTTCTTTTTGTATGCTGAGGCACGTAACTGCTTAGCCCTGACGTCCTCAGCAGTTTTTTAGACCTTAGATGCTAGAACAGCTTTGCTTTGTGGAGCAAACTCAATACAGCATGGGCAAGGCCGACTTGTTGTTCTGACTCAGTGTCAGATAGAAATGGCAAGCCCTGCCCATACTGTACTCACTACACAAGGACAGGAACCAGAGTAGTAATGAAGAGAAATTTTATGTCTTTCTTAAGGACTGTTCTTCATTTTTCTTTTCCTCTTTCTCAGCGACATAGCATGCTTAAGCAGCAAGATCTAAGTATTGCCATGGTGGTGACATCACGTGAAGTATTGAGTGCACTTTCTCAGCTTGTCCCATGTGTTGGTTGTCGTCGCAGTGTGGAGCGCCTCTTTTCCCAGCTTGTAGAGTCTGGAAATCCTGCACTTGAACCCCTGACAGTAGGGCCCAAGGGAGTCCTATCTGTAACTCGAAGCTGCATGACTGATGCAAAGAAGCTTTATACCTTATTTTATGTACATGGGTAAGTATAATCAATAGGGGTTAGATGACTTTGTTAAAAATTTTTAAACTTTGAGACAGTGGTGGCTCTTTTACTAAATTTGGTAGGGGCAAAGCTTGAGTCCAAAATCATTAATTTTTTTTTAAGATTTTATTTATTTATTTGACAGAGAAATCACAGGTAGGCAGAGCAGCAGGCAGAGAGAGGTAGAAGCAGGCTCCCCGCTGAGCAGAGAGCCCAGTGGGGGGCTTGATTCCAGGACCTTGCGATCACGACCCAAGCGAAGGCAGAGGCTTTAACCCACTGAGCTACCAAGGCGCCCCCAAAACCATTAATTTTATTGAATATCTTCTGTGTGCCAGTGACTATACATATTGTTCTCATATGGAGAGAGGCAGGCAGTAGGCAAATATGTGATTTGTCAGGTAAGTTATAAGAGAGATGAGAATGTTTGGGTGAATTAATATGGAGGATGGTTGGGGAAGGCTTCTATGGTAAAATGACACTGAGTGTAGACTTTAATGAAGTGAGTAAATAAACCACGTACATATCTGCAGGAAGGCACAGAAGGAGGAGCAAGTGTAAAGTTTCAAAGTTTGGAGTTTTCCTGACATGTTTGAAGAACAGTAAGGAAGCCATTATGGCTTGAGCCAGGTGATTGAAGGGAATAGTAATAAAAGGCCTACTTATGTAGTGCCATCCTGAGTTTTTGGTTATTGTTGGGTTTTTGTTTGTTTGTTTGTTTGTTTGTTTGTTTTTTACTCTGAGTAAGATGGGAAGATTTGGGAATGTTTTGAGCAGAGGAGTGACATGGTCTGACTTGAAGTTTGGCTTACTTTGACCTCTGTGTTGAGAATAAGTGGAAGGATGGTGGAAGGGGAAGAAACAAAAGCTATTTAATAATCAATGCAAGAGGGGCGCCTGGGTGGCTCAGTGGGTTGAGGCTTCTGCCTTCGGCTCGGGTCATGATCTCAGGGTCCTGGGATCGAGCCCCGCATCGGGCTCTCTGCTCAGCAGGGAGCCTGCTTCTTCCTCCCTCTCTGCCTACTTGTGATCTGTCTGTCAAATGAATAAATAAAAATCTTTAAAAAAATAATAATAATCCATGCAAGAGATGGTGACCAATGTGGTGGTCACAGAGGTAATAAGAAATGGTTGGATCCCGGGTATATTTTGAGGAATGAGCCAGTAGAATTTTTGGATAGATTGGCTATACAGGAGGACATCAAGGGATGATTCTCAGATTTGGGATCTAAAGAACAGGACCATTGGTTTCCATTTACTGAGGTGGATAAGAATGGGAGGAGCAATTTTGTAGAGCTCACTTTTGGACCTGTTAAGTTTGAGATACCAATTGGCATCCAGGTGGAGTTCAGAGAGGTCTGCTCTAGAGATAAAAATTGGTGTCATCAGCACATATGTAGTGTTTGAACTATGTATAAACTACACACACACTCACACACGGACATAATTTAAATCTTTGAGATGTGAGATGGTCACCAAAGTCTGAATATTAAATAGGAAGTGAGAAGGGGTCTGACAACCAAAGCCCTAGGCTTTTCTGTTTAGAGGTGGTGGTAGAGAGTTAGAATTTTTTCTCTCCTGAGAAAAGGCTTGAGGGTTTTTGAATGGAAAACATAATGTGATTTTTGTTTTGAAAAGATCGCTTCAGCTGCTGAGTGAAGCCTAAGGATGGGAAGCAAGGAGACCATTTGGGAGGTCAGCTATTGCACTTGACTAAGCTAGAGAAGCGAGTTGGACATGGATGGTAATGGTGGAGGTGATAAATGATATAATTCTGGATAATTCAAAAGTTAGAGTTGATAGGCTTTGCTGATTGGTTGGATGTAGGGTGTGGCTGTTAGCTGTAGGCATTTCTGTATTTGCATAAAATTTCTGTTGATGGTTCCTCATCAAGGATCGTGTTTATTTAGATATTGTTTGAACAGGGCAAGATCGCTGAGAGGTAGCAGTCAGTCATAAAATATTTGAGTGTCAAGCACACTGCTAGATACAGCGCAGATACAGGGATGAAGGAGACGGATGCAGTCTGGGGGAATGAGTACATTGAATAGAACAGGTCTCTTTCAACATACTGACAGACTAGGAATGGAAGGGAGAAGACAAGTGTACGGATTCTTCTTGGTTAGAAATTGATGAGAAATTTTCAAGGTAAGTGATGTGTCTGTAATACTTGAAATACACTTTTACACTAAAAGGCAGTAAATAGAGATTTTGAAAATTCTGAAGAAAAATGAATATTAATCAAACTTTTAATGATTTATTTTTGATTAGGTCCAAACTTAATGACATGATAGATGCTATTCCAAAAAGTAAAAAGAACAAGAGATGTCAGTTGCACTCCTTAGATACGCACAAACCAAAACCTTTGGGGTAAGTAGAATTGACTGTCAAGATCCTTAGTAATTGTTAAGATTATAAATGTTGATTGTATTTAGTGAAACAAACAAAAAAAACACTGTTTTACTTTATCAATTAGTTACATTGTAACATAGGTTAAAATAAATCTGTCTCCTAATTCTGTAAGGCCTTTTTGCTTTGAGACTGTCTAGGGTCTCAGTATAGATTTGATTTTTATTTTGGGGTTTTTTTTTTTTCTTATATTAAATATGTTTCAAAGGAAGGAAGTTGAGATCTTTATGAAAATTTATTTAGCCAATACTGAGTTTTTCAAGGTAGTGAATAATTCTTTGATCTGTATAATAGTCATAATGTATAAATTATTTTTCTTGTCTTTCTTATCTTTAGGTCTCCCTAATAATTTATCAAGGATTAAAAAAAAAAGTCTTGTTTTAGTTGTAGCAATTTGTATTTATGTAACTAATTTGCAGTTTTGTTCTGGTTAGGTGGTACAATGTCCAAGGCTGCTTTTGCCCTCATCTCCCAGCACATTGTTACATTTGCCCCCTACAAAATTGCTTTAGGTTGGGGGTGGTAAGGAAAAGCTATTGAATTTGAAAGGGGGGCTTCTAAGAAGTAACCTGTGTTTTGAGGAGAATGGGATGATATAAAACAATACTGGATTGCCTTTAAAAAATTAGTTTTTGAATATCTCATGAGTAGTGCTGACATCATTGTTGTATAGACCTTTTCCTTCCTGATAAAAGACCTGGATGACCAATTGGTGGTATGTTGATACTCTATTAGCAAGTTTGTTTGTTTTCCTATACTCAGGAACAAGATCTTAAAACAATTTTATTATGAGAACTGCCTAATGTATAGGAAAGTTAGACTATTCAGCAACCTTCCTTCCTACCAGATATTGTCACCCTGATTCAGTAATGTTATCAAGATTTGTCACATTTGTTTTATTTATCCATCTTTTTCTTTGCTGAAGTACTTTATTTTTTTTAATTACTATTATTATTTTTTTTGCTGAAGTATTTTAAAACAAGTCCCAGGCATCACATTTTTTTACTCCTGCATATTTCCACATCCATCTCTAAATACTTGGACATTTTCTTTCATAATGACACTGCCATTATAACACTTAAAAGAATTAACTATAATAATCTGATACCCAATTTAGATTTCCACATTTTTCTCTAAAAGTGCCTTTTTAAAAAATGGATTTGTTAGAATCAGGATCCAGACTGAACCACAAAGTATATGGTATCTAATGTGCGAGTACTCTGAACCTGCAGTAAAGCTCCACACAACTCGAAGTGGTTATCGAAAGAAAATTATTATTTTACACAACTGATTTACAAATATCTTTAGAGAATTCCTATCTTGCAAACGTAAAATTCAGTCTGATTTTCTCATTAGACAGTAATCTTTACCTGAATGACCTGTTGGCTAAAGCCACAAGAGTAGTAACCTATTACAAAAAGTCTGCCTTCCGATTTTCTTGTTATGAATTTTCTTTGTTGCGGAACCAAAAGCAACAGATACCTCAACATCTTACATAGCTGTTCCTTGGTACCTTCCTTCAAAGAGCAGTTCTTCTACCTTTGCTCCAGGTTCCATTTCTGAGTGACTGCTTTATCAATTACCCACTTGTGTTAAATTGGCATACAGCTCTGTTTTCCTATCTTTCAGTTTAAAAACAGAAATAAACCTCCACAGACTTCACATTCCCCTTCAGCAATAGCCCCACCGCATGGGAAGCCAAATGTTTTAGAAGGTTGTTTGCTGAATTATGAAATCAGTATGAGTTGATCTTGAGCACGGTCTCCTAAGGGAGCTTCAGGTATTTCTACACACCATGTGGATAGCAGGCCAGGGAGTACAGTGTGCTTAGCCAAGACTCCCCCCTCCTCCATTTTGGATGGCTACTGCCATTGTATGATACTGTGACTCTCCATTTTACACATTTCAACTGTTTATCCCCCCCCCCTTTTCTGTTTAGCTCTCTGCAGGGAAGTGTTAACAGTTGATTAGGTTTCAACCTAATCAATGGCAACAATCCAGCTCAGCCTTCTTTTTGAGAGTATTCTTATATCCATGCAAGTAAACCCAAGTTATTGGCTGCTTGGGAATAAGTTTGAGATCCAGAAGAAAAGTCTAGGCTACAGTTGTGGGCCTGTAACTGAAGACTGAAGATTATCTTAGAGAATAGTATATAAAGTCTACCTAGAGAGGGAGTAGAGTAAGAGAGAAGAATGCTAAGGAATTCAGCTTATTGGTAGAAAAGAATCTAGTAAAGAAACTTGAGAAAGAGTGGCCAGAGAGGTAGAAGGAAGCCAAGGGAAAAGAGTGTTCAGCTGTGTTGAATGCTCCTGAATCATCAAGGACCCAGAAGTGTCCATTGGATATAGCAACACTGTGGTAATTGGTGATCTTGATGACCAAATCTGTGGTTGAGTGGAAACAATCCAGATAAGGATAGGTAGAAAAGTGATTGCAATCTAAGGTTATGGTGGATTAAGCTGTGAGTGGAAAGTACAGGAGTGGAAAGACTTCTTTTTCAGAAATCTTGATCTTGAAAGGATGGAGTGATAGGAAGTCGAGAGAGGTTATGGATAAAGTCTTAATTTTAACTGTAGCATTTTTTTAGAAGTATTTCTTAGATTAATGCTCTTGTGTTCTGATGATATAATAATCATCCCCACACTGATTTCATGAACCTTTTCCTGAATTATGAGAACTTGAGTTTGAGAGTTAATCAGTTTTAGGAAGTTATGGATCGCTCATGCGTAATTAGAAAGAGAGGAAATACGGGCATAGAGAGTTGAAGGATAGAACATGGAAGATAGCAGTTGTTGAGGTCTTTGTTTCAAATTAGGGTGCTGAACCTTGCTTGAGGTCTTGTTTCAGGGAATAGGGAGCTGAATTGTACGGATGAACTTAAATGGTGGGCAGGGAGTTGAGAAGTACCTATTCAGCTATATAGAGAAGGTTAAGTAAAGATTCAGAGGTTTTTCCATCTCAAGCATCCAAGGTAACATTTCTGGGACTGTAGACAGACCTGCAGAGGAACAGGCAGGAGTCAGTTGTTCAGAATCATGAAATAGCAAGAAGACTGTCATTGAATGGAATATAGACACACATTTCTTTTGGAATGTACATCTGCCAATAAAGCAAAATGCAGGACCAACGCCACACTGAAACCTGTAGGGGAGGGAGAGTCCGGGAAGTTTTAGTAAGTTTTAAAAAAATTATTTATATAGTACTTATTACTGATATAGGCTGTGTAAAATGTAAAATGTTCCTCTTAGTGTGCTGTCTTTATTTTAGTAAATGTAAAATTTTATTGTAGTTAATGTAAAAATTTATTTACTATAATTAGATTAATCTGATTTTTTTTCCCTCAGCTACTTATAAATGTGAAGGTACAAAACATTGAGTTTTGTTGCCATGGGTTAGATATAAAATCACATTAAGTAGAACAAAACTTACTAAATTTTCAATTTGTGGAAGACTGACCAAGTTTATAGGTGAAAATATAATTTCTTTTAGCTGTGTTGACTTTAAAGCATTCCAAGTAGATTTGCTTATGAAATGCTTAGTATCTAATGAGTTGGTACCTTGATAAATATAAATGTTGTTAAATTGTGTCAGATAAACTTAATAGTTGAGCAGAAATTTTTATATAAAAGTATGAGCATATGTTTAGTATTTTAATATGGCTAAAATGAATATGTAATTATATACAAATTTGTAAACTTATTATACTAATATGTATTAAAGAGTTCATGATTTTAATTTAGACTATAGAAATTATTCCTTCAGGTTATCTGAGTGTCACTAAGCTTTGTACTATACTGTACTACAGTGAAGGGAGCAGTAGCAGTGTCAGTTCAGAGAAGTTAAGTACAGATAAGAGAAGTAGTGAAGACCACAGGAAGGACAGCAAGTGTAGGATCATTTTCCATTATGGACCTTTCCAGGGAACAGCCAGGTAAAATCAAGCAATCCTTTACTATGCCTTTTTTAATGTTTTAATGTTTATCTAGTCCTCCTTTCACTAATATGTGTTTCTTTCTGCAGAGGTTGTTGGATGGACGTATGGGAACTAATGTCCCAAGAATGCAGGGATGAAGTAGTTTTAATCGACTCTAGTTGTCTTTTAGAAACACTAGAAACTTACCTGCGAAAACACAGGTAAGTCTAAAGGTCATTGCAATATAGTTGGAAGGTGCTGTAGTGCTCTCTCAGTTATCTGGATTGAGCTCTTACCTCCTTCATATAATAGCACTCCAGTCTTCCCATTAATACCTGGTGCTAGGAAGAGCTTAATATTAGGATAAGCATTTCTTTATGGGATGACTCTCAGTGTTAGCCTTCTTGTATTGAGCCAGCATCTCCTCTTTTTGTAATTTTTACCTGTTGGTTCCAGGCCAGTGAACTGTACTTAGTTGAGTAAAGTACTGAATCACTTTAGAAACTCTAGTATTCCTTGTTTTTATGATAGAAGCATTTAATGTCATTTTCAAAATTAAAGTTTAAATTAGTGGCTTTCATTTAGTAATATTTTGAATGATTTCTTCTATAATCATTTGTCAAGACCTAAAAATAGAGTTGGAATTTGTGTGGTTCATGTACTGAAAAAGTAACTTCAGATTTTTCTTTTTAGAATACTATTTTACAAAGGAATTTTCTCTTTTCTTTTCTTTTCTTTCCTTCTTTCCTTCTTCCTTCCTTCCTTCTACATTTTATTTCTTTGAGACAGAGAGTACACAAGGAGGAGAGGGACAGCGGGAGAGGGAGAAGCAGGCTTTCTGCTGAGCAAGGAGCCCAATGTGGAGCTCCATCCCAGGACTCTGGGATCATGACCTGAGCTGAAGCAGATGCTTAAATGACTGAGCCACCCAGGTGCCCTACATAGGAATTTTCTAAGTGTCATTAGCATTTAGAAATTTGTAGGGAGGGAGAGTGCAGTAGGAAAGGAAACTGGTAGGGGACCGCCTAGAGATGGTATTCTAGGAGGGAGCTGTACTCTTTTAATGTAAATTCATCACATGTTTGGTGTGTGGTTTTGTGTTCTTTGACCTGGGACATAAATACATACTTACTTTGGGGATACTTCTAGAAAACATACTAAAAACTAGGGTTTATCAAGATTGATGTTTATATGGCAATGAGCTAATGACTTAATCTGCATACTAAGTTTATTCAGTGTTTTTCTTTTTTCAGTTACAAACTTCCTTGTTTATTTGCCTTTTTGGTTGACTATACCCAAGAGAGTAGAGAATATGTCAAGTATTTGCAGTTTTGTCGGAGAGGGATTATACAGACAAAAAACATTTAAATATGTAGGTCCATTATAGATTGCTTCCTTTTTCAATATGAATTGATCCATCCAAAAGATAGCTTTTTGGGGTGATAAATGACTAGTTATAAGAGCTAATGTTTAGTAGTTCCCTGTAATGGTTGTAGATATTTCCTTTATTGGGGTGGCAATATTTTAGGGCTCTGAGAAGGTGGAATCTATTTAATAACTATCTGAAGGGTGGGGAGAAGTATGATTAAGAAAGATTGCTTTGAATCTGGGTTCTACTAATTATAACTTGGTACAAGTTACTTAACATTTCTGTGCCTTCCTTTCTTTTCTTAAGACAAAAATAATGATAGTATGGATGAATTGTAGGATTAAATTTGTCATGGGGATAGATAATACCCAGTCAGGCGTACTTAGAACAGTATGTGGCTGGGAATGCAAGCTACTGCAGCACTCTGAAAAACGGTATGTAAGTTCATCAGAAAGTTGAAAATAGAGCTACTGTATGACCCAACAATTGACTACTGGGTACTTATCCCAAAGATACAGATGTGTGATCTGAAGGGGTACCTGCACCCCATGTTTATGGCAGGAGTTCCACAATAGCCAGATGTCCACATCTGGCTAGGTTCCACAGTAGAACCTAGATGTCCATCAGCAGATCAATGGATGGAGAAGATGTCGGCCCCCCCCCCACACACACAGTGGAATATTATGCAGCCATCAAAAATGGAAATCTTGCCATTTGCAACAACATGGGTGGAACTAGAGGGTATTATTACGCTAAGCAGAGTAAGTCAGAGAAAGAAAAAGAATCTCTCTGATACATGGAATTTAGGAAACAAGTCAGAGGATCATAGGGGATAAAAGGAAAAAAATGAAACAAGATGAAACGAGAGAGGGAGACAAACCATAAGAGGCTCTTTTTTTTTTTCCCCCTAAAGATTTTATTTATTTATTTGACAGAGAGAGACCAGGAGAGACAGAACACAAGCAGGGGCAGTGGGAGAGGGAGAAGCAGGCTTCCTGCTGAACAGGGAGCCCGATGCAGGGCTCCATCCCAGGGCTCCGGGATCATGACCTGAGTCGAAGGCAGAGGCTTAATGATTAAGCCACCTAGGTGCCCCAAGAGACTCTTAATCTTAGGAAACAAACGGAGAGTTGCTGGGAGGTGGGGGGATGGGGTGGCAGGGTGTTGGACACTGGAGAGGGTATGTGTTGTGATGAGTGCTGGGTGTTGTATAAGACTGATGAATCACAGACCTGTACCCCTAAAACAAATAATACGTTATATGTTAATTAAAAATAATAATTTTAAAAATATATAAATAAAATGTGAATGTATTATATATAATATTTTAAAAACCCAATATCTGGCACATAGTAAGCACATTAGTGAATGTTTGTATGCCAGATTTGCAAATGCTTGTTATTCCTGTGTATCTAGTTCTTGTTTTAGGTCCAGTTTGAGTTTTTGAGGTATGTATAATCAGTTGAAAATGATTTCTGATGTCTTAATAATGGGGGCACCTGGGTGGCTCAGTCAGTTAAGCGTCTGCCTTTGGCTCAGATCATGGTCCCAGGGTACTGGAATCAGTCCCCACATTGGGCTCCCTGCTCAGTGGGGAGTCTGCTTCTTCCTCTCCCTGTGCCTTCTGCTCTCCCTACTTGTGCGCTTGCTCGCTCTCTTTCTCTGTCAAAAAAAAAAAAAAAATCCTAAAAAGTATCTGAATAATGTACCTTTTTGACAGTTCTATTTTATTTAGTGGACTTTTTTGAGTACTTTATAATAAAAATTTGATGGGGAACTGAGGTGGCTCAGTCTGTTGAGTGTCTGACTCTTGATCTCAGCTCAGGTCTTTATCTCAGGGGTGTGAATCCAGGCCCCATGCTGGGCTTGGTGCTGGGTGTGGAGCCTACTTACAATAAAAATTTTTTTTAAAGATTTTATTTATTTATTTGTCAGAGAGAGAGAGATCACAAGTAGGCACAGAGGCAGGCAGAGACAGAGGGAGAAGCAGGTTCCCTGCCGAGCAAGGAGCCTGATGTGGGACTTGATCCCAGGACGCTGGGATCATGACCTGAGCCGAAGGCAGCCGCTTAACCAACTGAGCCACCCAGGCGTCCCTACAATAAAGATTTTATAACACTGGCCAGTTAAATATTATGGTAGTAAATTATTAGAAATAAAGTGTTAAACTCTGAAACCTCTGCCTTAAAATTTTTTTTACTTTTATGTGCAAGTTTTCTTTTGAAAACAGGAAAAATCATTTTCATTCTTATAGCTTATATATAGTATTTTTAAATTGCTGTTTACTTATGCTTATGTTATTTATGATTATTACAAATTTTAAAGATTATGTACAAAGATTAAACTACTATGAGGATTTAAAGTTAGCAAAATAAGAGGACGATATTTTCAAGTTTTATTGCTACTCTATGACATCTAACCATTTATTTACCTGAAAATGTAAACTTAATCTTTTTAACTCAAGAACACAGAAGAATTTGTTATTTCTGCATCCAAGTATTTATTCTCCCCCTCAAGGGGAAGACTTTTTTTTATTGTGGTAAAAAAAAAAAAAGTAAGTTCTTAAACAGTTTTTAAGTGAACATTACAGTATTGTTAACTGTATGCACATTGTTGTACAGTAGATCTCAAGAATTTTTCATTTCACATGATTGGAACTATACCCATTGAACAACAATTTCCCCATCAACCCCTTCTCCCAAGCCCTGGCAACCAGGATTCTGTTTTCTGTTTTTTATGAATTTGATTATTATAGAATCATTCAGTATTGGTCTTTCTGCGATTGGCTTATTTCACTTAGCATAAAGTCCATGCTGTAGCATATGATGCAGAATTTTCTTCTTAAAGCTGTATAATAGTCCATTTATGTATGTACCGCATTTGCCTATCAGTGGACATTTTGGTTGTTGCCCCTACATCTTAGCTATTTCTACAAATGCTGCAATGAACATGAGTGTGCAGATATCTTTTTGAGATCCTGTTTTCAGTTCTTTAGGATATATACTTAAAAATGGAATTGCTGGATCATACGGTAGTTCTGTTTTTAAATTTTTTTAGGAAATGCCATACTCTTTGCCATTATTGGCAGCATTATTTTACAGTTTCAGCAACACCAGTATCAAGGGTTCCAGTTTCTCTACATCTTTGCCAGCACATGTTGTTTTCTATTTTTTTTTAATAGTGGCTATGCTAAATGTATATAAAGTAGTATCCTGTGGTTTTGATTTACATTTTCCTGAAGATTAGGAAATCATCACCTATTCAGTGCATGAAATTTTTCTTCCAGTGTTTTCTTCTAGGAGTTTTGTAGTTTCATGTCTTACTGTTTAGGTCTTTAGTCCATTTTGTGTTAATTTTTGCATATTTCTGTGTTTTTTGAAGCATTAGTGCATCAGTGATTTAACTTGTCAGCATTATTGCTTGTGTTTACTAATTGGGCTTAGGGACTCTAACATGTATTCATTTCAAGAAACAAATATGTGCATCAACTAATGTGTGGCCGTATAAGGGTAAATAAAGTAAGAAGTGTAAATTGCAAATATAGGAAGACAGAGGAAGGCTGAATTCTAGTTATGGGAATTGCAGAAGGCATCTTTAAAGATGGACATGATTTAGGCAGATGGAAAAGGATGCAGAAAGGGGTGGGGAGGAAGCAGAAGAAACTTGAAGTAGGGACATAATCTCTTATGTTCATGGTAGTCCATTGTCTATATGGTATGTGTACAGGAGCAGGGTAAATTGTCTAGGCAGTTTAAAACAGGATAGGGGTAATTGGAAAGAAGACCTGTAAGAGATGTAAGAAAAATTTGATACCAGTTGGCTCCACCCCTAAAAGAGGACCTAGGAAGAAGTTGGAGGTTAACTGAGGTTTTCTTCCTGGGTGACTGTATGAATGGTGATGTTCTTAATAGGTTTGTAAGGGAACATTCATGTTGCCCTTGGTTTTGGAGAGGAAGTTAAAACATGTTGCCTATTGTACATCTGTGATGTCTCCCATTTTACAGTATGGGTTTAGCCCTCAGGTAAGGGCAGAAGACTTGAACAAGAGCTATAGAGGTGAGAGGTATACTTATTGGCTGAAGCCATTGTAACAGAAGAGGCCAACTAGGGAGATGAATATAAAGAGATTGAAATTTCCTCATTCCGCCACAGCTGATCTTCTCAGAGATGCAGTTATTAATTTTATGATCTTTTTTTATCAGACCAAGTTCTTTCTTGTTTCAGGAAAGTAAAGCTAAAGAAACAAGGTTCTGTTTTTTTTTCTGATTGAATAATATTTGGTTTCTAAAATAAAATGTCATCATCCTCTATGTTCACATTCTTTTTTTTCTCTTCTACACTTTTGTAACAAATTTAGACTACATTTCTATGTATATGTTATCAATATTATGATTATGTATTGAGAAACGTGTTTTTTAAAAAGAAATTTGACTTTTGGAAATTACTAGTAAACTAAAACTACATGTGCCACTTTCTTGCCCCTACCCTCTTTTTTATGCTTAACTAGTAAGATATTAAAATGTCGTAGCAACATTTGGATTCAGGTTTACTGAATGAAGGTAGCACAACTGTTTTTAGAGGCTGAAAGGAGTGGGATTCTTGAGTCACTGGTTTGTGGCTTCTTGTTTTCATGTGTCTGTCTTGTTTAAGAATCATTTATTTGCAAATGGAGATCTAGCTATACTGTAATCCCTAAATTTGTATTTCTCTTACATGTGTATGTTTTAAATGTGTGTCTGGAGGATTTTTTTTTTTTTTAATGCTCCACATGGTAGGGGAGTGTCATTGTCTAGTACACTGTTAATGTGTTTCATGAAATAATTATGCAGCTAGTTCTTAATTTTGAAGTTTTTCTTTTCAACAGGTTTTGCACTGATTGCAAAAATAAAGTCCTCCGAGCATACAACATCCTTATTGGTGAACTTGATTGCAGCAAAGAGAAGGGCTACTGTGCTGCACTTTATGAAGGCTTGCGGTGCTGTCCACACGAACGGCACATACACGTTTGCTGTGAAACAGACTTCATTGCACATCTCTTGGGTCGTGCCGAGCCAGAGTTCGCAGGAGGGTATGAGTATGTAATTTGCTAGAATGGGCTATCTAGCGCTTTGCTTCATTTTATTACTGAAAGTTTATTTCCATCACCTTTTGCCTCAGTACATATGATATATGTATAAATTAAAGTGTGCCTGTGAAGATTCTGCTTTCTTTAAAGTATGCATTTGATGGAGTAAAAATAGGGAGAAAGTGTTGTGTGGTGTTCATTTCAGTCCTCTGCTCCTTGTTGCTTGAAGTAGATAGGCTTTTTTTTTTTTTTTTTTTTTTTTTGGGCTTTCATTATTATAGATTATCATTTTCATCAGAAAATGATTAGAAGGGATTTACCCCCTCCATCCATGCATTTCCATGTTTAAATTTTGTTCATAATGATGATTTTTGCATAGGAAGAAAGGTCTTTGCAGCAGGGGGTTAAATACTTTATTGAGTGTAATTCATGAACTGTGTATATTATTACTGAATTGTATAAGAACCTAAAATTTTATCTCTGGCTTTGTCGTGAAAATAATATCAGAGAAAGTTGTCCTAGAATAAATTGAATCCATTTTCCTTTGTGTTTTGTGTATCAGCTCTCATTTGAGTGCCTACTTTCTGCTAGCCATTTAGAACATGAAGACTTACAACTGAAATTCCGTGAACACTTCTACTGAAGACTAGCCTGGAGGGCTTTTGTCCATGATTGAATCACGTTGGCATTTCTCCATTCCCCCTCAAAAAAAAAAGAAACAAAGCAAGTAGGCATTTGTTAAAATTGGAAGGTGAAAGGAGCTGTCATGCCTACCTGTGAGCTGGACACATATATAACTTCTCTGTGCCGCAAAAAAAATCTCTTTTCAGGGCCAGTTCCTGAATTATCTTATTTTTAGCAATATTAGGACTGAGTTCTGCTTGCATGTGTATTTCTTATTGGTTATATACATGTGTGCTTCTATGTTTATATGTATATTGAATTTGAATGTATAACCGGCTTGTTATTACATATGCAAATTGTGTTTTAAAACCTGAACTTGAAGAAGTTTATCTGTCTCTCAGTGTTTCAGTAAAGGATATTAGGAATTATGTATGATTTATTCTCCTTTACAGGCGAAGAGAAAGGCATGCTAAGACAATAGATATAGCTCAAGAGGAAGTTCTGACCTGCTTGGGAATTCATCTTTATGAAAGACTGCATCGAATCTGGCAAAAACTACGAGCAGAGGAGCAAACATGGCAGATGCTTTTCTATCTTGGTGTTGATGCTTTACGCAAGAGTTTTGAGGTAAGAACAGTGGGCTGCTTCAGTGTCTAAGATTGCTTAGTCACATTATTAGACTGAATGTTAATATAAGCTGCAGTCATTTTACCTCAGAGGCTTGTGATCCAGTGATAGTGTCATGTATGTGGAGGGGTTCAGGGAGGGGAATTGGAATTTAGAAGAGGATTGTGGATTTTTCTTTGTTTTTCAGTCCTGTTATTCTGCCAGCTTTGGTTTTTAGACTTCTCAGAGTAGAAAACTGAAGTTTATGATTATTTAATTTAGCAAGATGTTGCTATCAAATATATCTAATGAAAAGTTAAAAGCAACCCCAAAATAAGCAACAAAATTAGAAACTTTTAACGAGTCTCAGCTTGCCTGCTGATGTCCAGTAGCCTCTTTATATTACTGGTATTGGGTTTAGAGCTTATGATTTGGTAACTTTTTTTGAGGGTGGGGGTTCTACACTGTCAGCACATAAAATATTGGCTAGTGAACATTTTGTTACATTCTAGGGCATGTTCTTAACCCTAACTGGGTCACAGATCCCTTTTGAGAATAGTATGAAAGCTATAAACCCTTTTTTCAGAAGCACATCCATGAGCTTTAAACATTGTTCTGGGGAGTCTGAGGAGATTTGTACTGGTTCTTGGTGAACACATTCCTGTTTCCTTTTCTCTGTATGTTTGTGACTTCAGAAACTAGATCATCTAATCAGGTTAAATAGTCTTCTCATTGTGTGAAGAAATGAATATTTACTCTGCTGTGTTAAAAATTTTGGAATTTGAAACTAGAATATTGCCAGTTTGGAATAGGAGTGTGTATAAGTCTGCCTTTCCTGTAGGGATTCATAGTATATTCACTTGCTATGGATTTTAAGATGTCATCATTTAAAATATTAAAATTGAAGATTCTTTGTGGGGATGCTCTGTAAAATTGCAACATGAATTATCTGTCTGTGTGTGGTATCATTTAAAATTAGCAAGTGAGGGGCACCTGGGTGGTTCAGTCAGTTGAAGGTCTGACACTTGATTTCAGCTAAGGTCTTCTCTCTCAGGGTCGTGAGTTAAAACCCTGAGTTCAAAAAATCGAATTAGCAGATGAGAAATTCCATGGAAAATAAAGGAAGTTCTGACCAATATTTATTCTCAACTTTGTTTTTTAATAGATGACTGTGGAAAAAGTACAGGGTATTAGCCGATTAGAACAACTTTGTGAAGAATTTTCAGAGGAGGAACGAGTAAGAGAACTCAAGCAAGAAAAGAAACGCCAAAAACGGAAGAATAGACGAAAAAATAAATGTGTATGTGATATTCCTACTCCCTTACAAGCAGCAGATGAAAAGGAAGGAAGCCAAGAGAAGGTAATATTCCATAATTTTGACTCATTATTATGTAGTATTGCTTTTTGCTAGATTTTGGCATTTTTACCATGCGTTTCCAGAATGTGATGAGCTGCAACTTATATATTGGCTTTTTTCCTACTATATTGGTAAAAGCCAAAATTTTTAATGTCATGTATTCTTTTTATAATACTCAATAGTTATCTTTTTACCCAATCTTAGTGTGTTGTTAGATCAAATGGGGAAATTAACTCCATGCATGACCTAGAGCAGTTCTTTTTGGTCTCAGGACACCTTTGAATTCTTGAAAATTACAGGGCCCAATGTGCTTTTTGTTTATATGGATTATACTTACCAAAATTCACTGTATTAGAAATTAAAATGGAGAAATTTTAAATTATTTTTAAAAATAAGCCCTTCTATTATGTTAACATGAATAATATATTTTTTAAATGTCCTACCCCCACTTCCCCCAAAAGAAGTGAGAAGAGTGGCATTATTTTATATTTTTGCAGATCTTTTTAATATTTGGTTTAAAAGGAATTAGATGGATTCTCAGATCTGCTTCTGCATTTAGTCTGTTTCCATATGTTGCTTGGTTGAAGCATGTGAAGAAAGTCTGGTCTCAGAAAAGGGAGGAATATTTTAATATAAACTTTTTCAGATAGTTGTGGCTGTTCTTCTTTGGCATTACAACTCAACAAGAGGTAGTGTCTTAAAGATTAGTTATGATATGGAACCTGGCACCTATCAGTGACCTTTTCATAACTCAGTTAAATTAAAGTCTATTAGTCTTGCACTTTGAATAGATCTTTTACTCATGCATGATTTTGTAACATCATGCATTGGTCATTTGAAAGATACGGATATACTGAGTTATGCAGATCTTGCCAGATACTTACATTTCTTTACATAATATCACATAATCATGTTAAAACCACTACTGATCTCATCAGAAAGGTCTTTAAGTAGGGGGACACTTCAAGCTTATTGTGCTTGTTTATATAAGTTTTCAAAATTTTGATTGTGATTTGAAAGTTTGAATTTTTAATCACTGACCACAAATACGGTCCATTGTTTTCCTCGAGGTAAAGGGCTGACTTGATTTTTTGAGAAAATGTCTTTTTAAGTGTCTAAGTCTGAATAACCACAGTTTGTCTCTCATTGTTTGAAGCAGAATTGATGTTCCAGGATAAAAAAAAAAAAAACACCTGGTTTAGTTTATAACTCAAACAGTTGCTCAAGTGCTCTTCCTTGAGATGACCATTGTACTTTGGTATGCAGCAAGAGTGCTTTAATTAAAGCATACTTCCTCTTTGTCACATAGACTATTATAAAGGTATATAGTCATGAATTGATACTTAATAAAAATATTTTTAATGTCTTCATCAAAGACATTGTTGAGTATCCACTTATTGATTTCCTAAGCGTGCTTGTCAAGTAAGGAATATAGTAACCGTTAGTACACTTTGATTGCTACTGCTTTGATTTGTGCTAAGTACCAGCAACTTTTCCCCACCATTGCTTTTGTGCCATCAGTGTGTCAATACAGTGGAAAACAGCAAGTCACATCTTACATTTGGATGAAAATAGTTTTGACCTAGGGAATCAGCAGACTGCACTTTGAGAACTACTTTCCTAGACTTTCCTGATAAACCATTAACTCTTGCTTTTAGTTGTTTCATAGTCTTGATCAATGGTTTAGTGATTTTTTTTCATGAGAATAATTTTTTCAATTGTTAACCTCCTAGCTCCTGTCTAATTGGTTGATGTTAAGGAAGTTAAAATGTATCCATTATGAAGGTAATATTTTTTACTATCTCTTAATATTGATCCTTAAAGGAAACAGATTTCATAGAAAACAGCTGCAAAGCCTGTGGTAGCACTGAAGATGGTAATGGTTGTGTAGAAGTCATTGTTACCAATGAAAATACATCCTGTACCTGTCCTAGCAGCGGCAATCTCTTGGGGTCCCCTAAAATAAAGAAAGGTAACCAGATACAGTTTTGTTTTTTTCTTTTTAAGATTTTTATTTTTTTATTTTAGAGCACGAGTGGGTGGGGCAGAGAGGGAAGGAGAGAGAATATCCAGCAGACTACGTGCCGAGAGTGGAGCCTTATGTGGGACTTGATCGCACAACTCTGAGATCGTGTCGTGAGCTAAAACTAAGAGTCTGATGCTTAACTGACTGTACCACGCCTCTTTTTTCTTTTTTATATAGATTCCACGCCCAGCGTGGAGCTCCAACATGGGGCTTGAACTCAAGACCCTGAGATCCAGACCTGAGCTGAGATCAAGAGTCAGGCACTCAACCAACTGAGCCACCCAGGGGCCTCTACAGCTTTTTGTTTTTTTGTTTTTTAAGATTTTATTTGACAGGAGAAACAGACTCCCCGCTGAGCAGAGATCACAATGTGGGGCTCAATCCTAGGACCCCAGGATCATGACCTGAGCCAAAGGCAGATGCTTAACCACCTGAGCCACCCGGTTTTTCCCCCACCCCAGTATTCTTTCTTTCTTTTTTCTCTTTTTCAAATGTAAATGGGACACCTGGCTGGCTCAGTTGGTAAAACATGCAACTCTTGGTCTTGGGCTCATGAGTTCAAGCCCTATGTTGGGGATAGAGATTACTTTAAAAAACAAACAAAACTTGAAAAATAAAATAGATATAAGAAGTTTTAGAGAAAAAAAAAGTTTTAGAGATCCTGTAACTTAGACACTTAATATTTCCTTTTTCTTGGAGTGCCTGGCTGGCTCAGTTATTTTTTGATGAAAACAAAAAACTGTAAGCCCCTAATCATGTTTTTGTTACTTAATTCACTTTCTGTTTTCAGTAAGCCATCAATTTTGAAATTTTTCTGTAGTTTCCAGTTGGTTCACTCTTTGTGCAATGTATTTATTGGTATCTTAATTGTAACTCTCAACTGATTGATTCGCAGGCTTATCACCACACTGTAATGGTAGTGATTGTGGATATTCATCTAGCATGGAAGGGAGTGAAACAGGTTCTCGGGAGGGTTCGGATGTTGCCTGCACTGAAGGCATTTGTAATCATGATGAACACGGTAGGTTCAGATGAAGCTTCCCAATTATTTCTACTACATGGCTGATTAAAGCACATGAATAAGAGATTATTGATTTCTGCAGGTGATGACTCTTGTGTTCATCACTGTGAAGACAAAGAGGATGATGGTGATAGTTGTGTTGAATGTTGGGCAAATTCTGAAGAGAACAACACCAAAGGAAAAAATAAAAAAAAGAAAAAGAAAAGCAAGATGTTGAAATGTGATGAACATGTAAGTGTTAAAATTCTTAAACCTTTGCTGTTGAGAGGAGATCAATCGATTTTCCTTGGAGTGGCAAGTCTGCAGCTTAGTTGCTAGTATTTATTATTATTTGAGAATGAGTACCTTTAGAATGCAATTCCCAGGGTGCCTGGGTGGCTCAGTGGGTTAAGCCTTTGCCTCCGGCTCAGGTTATGATCTCAGGGCCTGGGATCGAGCCCTACATCTGGCTCTCTGCTTAGCAGGGAGCCTGCTTCCCCCTCTTTCTGTCTGCTGTTCTGCCTACTTGCGATCTCTCTCTGTCAAATAAATAAAATACTAAAAAAAAAAAAAAAAAGATTGCAGTTCCCATCAGTTGCTCATCTTGTGAGTTTTGTATGCATGTGTGTCTGATGTGGTCATTTGACCAGCAATCCATGTGAGTCATAAATCCAGTTCATTCTTTTCATAATACTTTTATGTATGTATGTATGTATGTATGTATGTATGAGAGAGAGAGCAAGAGCACGAGTGAGGGGCAGAGGGAGAGGGAGAAGCAGGTTCCCCGCCAAGCAGGGAGCATGATGAGGGGCCTGATCCCAGACCTCCAGGACGAAGACCTGAGCTGAAGGCAGACAATTAACCAAAAGAACCATCCAGACACCCCATTTTTTGTAATGCTTTTAAATGAGTTAGCTCTGTAATCTTGAGCAGTTTGCTGGATGTTAGTAGTCCCATCTGTAAGGAGAGACTAGTCCCTATCAGATTAAGTTCTGAGAAGATGAAATGAGATAGATGGTATTAATGGGTTAGTATAGCATCTGGTATGTAGTAAGCGCCTACTGAATGCCAGCTGCCGCTGTTACTCACCATTCCTTCTAAAAAGTTAATACACTATTAGTTAATGCACCTTCCCCCCCCCCTTATTCATTTATTTATTTATTTTTAAGATTTTATTTATTTGACAGATCACAAGTAGGCAGAGAGGCAGGCAGAGAGAGAGAGAGGGGGAAGCAGGCTCCCTGCTGAGCAGAGAGCCCAATGTGGGGCTTGATCCCAGGACCCTGGGATCATGACCTGAGCTGAAGGCAGAGGCTTATCCCACTGAGCCACTCAGGCGCCCCTTTCCCCCTTTATTTAAAGAGTAATTGCTGTAATTTCCTCTCTTTTTACCTGAGACATCCTTTGCTGTGGTTCCAGATCCAAAAGCTTGGAAGCTGTATTACAGATCCAGGTAATCGAGAGACCTCAGGAAATACCGTGCACACAGTGTTTCACCGAGACAAGACCAAAGATGCACATCCTGAAAGCTGTTGCAGTTCTGAAAAGGGTGGGCAGCCACTGCCTTGGTTTGAACATAGGAAAAACGTACCACAGTTTGCAGAATCCACAGAACCGTCATTTGGTCCTGATTCCGGAAAAGGTGCCAAGAGCTTAGTTGAACTCCTTGTAAGTAAGGATATTTTAACTGTGAATAACTGCTCATGGGGTAGGAAAGGGGAGGGCACAATATTTGAGAATTTGAAGTTGGGACTGGGTGGGGGAGCTTTTAAGAAATTAAGGGCAGTCTTTCGGGGGTTTTTTTTGTGACTTCATTTCTGCTCTTCCCCTCATGAGTTATGCAACTGCTCTAGAGCACATTTTCTTGTCCTCTTTTGTCTCCAAGATAGGAGAGAATAGTTGGGAGAGGGGAATAGAGTTAGCATCATGTCCAGGAATCTGCCTCCTTGGAGAAGGTTATTTGTAAGCAAACTGCCTTTCTGAGTGGCAGTTTATTATGGACTGCTTTCCAGACCAGGAAAATATGTAGAATCTGAACTAGAGCCCACTCTTCTAGGTTACTTCCTTTCGGTTTATATAGGATAAAGGCATAACTGAACTTGGAAAATCTTTTATACAGACTCCACATCTTGATACTTCAGATGAATTATGTCTGATTATGAGCAACCCAGTACATAGTGTGGAGCTTGGAGCAGGGGAAGAAAAGAGAAGGGTGATATATCTTCTGTATAGTAGTTCGGCTCCTAATGGTACCATATCCTGTAGAACAGTTTTTTTGTTTTTACATGGTGGTTAAATTTCATAAGTTTTAAAAAGGTTATATTTTACTTAATTTGTAGAGATAAAAGTTTCAACGTAGAACCAGATGGTTAAAAACCAGATCAGTCTGGTTATTTAAAATTTGGTAACTAGTTGTAACCATCTCTAGTTAGTAATTTTTTTTTTTTAAGGATTTTATTTATTTATTTGACAGAGATCACAAGTAGGCAGAGAGAGGGGGGAAGCATGCTCCCTGCTGAACAGAGAGCCCAATGCAGGGCTCAATCCCAGGACCCTGGGATCATGGCCTGAGCCGAAGGCAGAGGCTTTAACCCACTGGGCCACCCAGGTGCCCTTAGTCAGTCATTTTTAAAGGCAAAGACATGTCGGTAGTCTGTCAGGCTCATAGGTCTTCTAGGACAAATTATAGATCCAGAGTTTCAAACTGAGTTGAGTTGGATTTTATTCTTACTTAGTACTTTCTAAGACAGAATGACATGATGCTTGTTCTGTAAACAGTCCAATCAAAGACTTTATGTGACTAAATTGAAATTAAAAGGCTAGACTGCCTTAATTTTTAGCTGTCCTCCATCAGCATAGTTTTTGGCATTCCTAAAATAAATCATGATCTTAACTACTGCTTTAATTTGCAGGATGAGTCTGAATGTACTTCAGATGAGGAAATCTTTATCTCACAAGATGAAATACAGTCATTTATGGCTAATAACCAGTCTTTCTACAGCAATAGAGAACAATACCGACAGCATCTGAAGGAGAAATTTAATAAATACTGCCGCTTAAATGATCACAAGAGGCCCATTTGTAGTGGCTGGTTGACAACGGCTGGAGCAAATTAAATAAATAAAATAGCTCTGTCTTTCAATGAAACACTCAAGATGACTACTGCGCCTTCTCTTTCAAAAAACTCTTAATTTAGTGACTTATGGCAAAATTTTATCTTAAATCAATGTGATTCTTTCTTGTTTTGGGAGACGGTGGAGGTAACCTCATTAGTTTGTTCTTTCTTCAGGCTTGTGTCTTTAGTTGCGTGGCTGCGCAGGCCTGCCATATGATTTAAGCCATCTCTCTTCATTAAATGTTTCTCTTCCTGTGAGACTTACTAAAGCAACTTAGTGGCAAAAAGTAATGTTGTACTTATACTTCTGTACAGAAATGACAATGAGCTGAATATATGGTTTTACAAAGTAGACATCCACTTGCGAAATGTTTGGATGTAACGTTAAAGCGCAATGTGCAAAATTTAAAATAAAGAATATTTATTAATACGCATAGTAAAAATTGGTGTACATGTTTCTACTTAATGTGTGGCAGTATTTTAATATTTGCCACTTTTGAACTCGGTACTTGGCCACTGTTTATATCAAATGAAGTGCTAATGAGGATAGAGATACAGATTGTTGAGGACAAAATTCTTCCCTTGACCAGAGTTGACAGCCAAGAAAAGCAGTTTTCAGTCTTGTGTTTTGAAAGAATAAATTTGCTGTGATACCTTTAAATACTGGCTATAGCTAGCATCTTTCTCATGACATTGTTAATTGCTATTATTAAAAATTCCCTCATACCTAACATAAAACACCTTAAATTCAGAGATTCATATTGAACTAGAAGAATGGAAACAGAACTTGACAGAATTTCCACCAAGGGTTGCCTGAGAAGGAATTACTGTAGCATGTAGACCTGGGACTAGAAGGCTGCACCCAGAGCTAACCACATCGCAATGTGTAAGTGCATGCTCCTTATCTGGTTTCCAACAATAAAGTCACTATGGCTTTACAGTTTACTGCTTCCATAAACTGTCTGTGTGTATTGAAGGAGAGAAATTCCCCCAGGACTAGCATTTGGCTGCCATTAAAAAAAAAATGGTTGAGTCAGTAGTTCAGTACACATTGCTTAGAGCTTTGTGTCTGCGTGTTAATACTTGGTGGGCAGCAGGCAGAGTGGGGCAGTCAGTACCTCTCTGTGCAGTGGGGTTGGAGTGAATTTTATGGGCTCTCTACCATTTAATCAGATTTCAGATGGGCAACAGCAGAAACTTAGATTTAATTTTTATAGATGGTGGCATTTCTTTGATACACCTCCTTGGTTGCCATTTCAAATCTGAGTGTTGTATAGGGGTGGGGCAGAAGTAAAATGAGACTCTCTGACTTGTTCACTTTCATCTGGGAATCCAGAAAAAATGACTAAGGATCTCCCACAGCCCCAGGGTCCGAGCCCAAACCTCTCTTCGCCATCTTTGCAGTCTAGTTTTCTCTTGAGATTCCTAAAAGCAAGGGCTGGTTTTATTTATTTTTTTATTTTTTAAAGATTTTATTTATTTATTTGACAGAGGGAGAGAGGGATCAGAAGTAGGCAGAGAGGCAGACAGAGAGAGAGGGGGAAGCAGGCTTCCTGCTGAGCAGAGAGCCTGATGCGGGACTGGATCCCTAGATCATGACCTGAGCTGAAGGCAGAGGCTTAACCCACTGAGCCACCCAGGCGCCCCGGGCCGGTTTTATTTTATCTTAATCTTTATCCTTGGGCCAAGCACAGGAGTACTTGGTGAATGAATAAACCAGCCGCATTTACTGCTTATACTATTGCTTGCAGCGGAGGGATTCCTTAGGCAGAGGTGTTTTTTTCTTTGGAAGGATGGCTATATTAAGAATGCAGAGGTAAGGAAGGCAGTTTCCAGAGCTTTGATGGAACATCCTGAGTAGTTAGAGAGCAAAGTGAACACCCTCTCAGCACAACCAATAGCCCAAGAAGAGACAAAGGGGAGAATGAAGTGAAGGCAGATTAGGAGGAGCGCATTCCCTGGCCTGGGACTGGACAGTTTAAAGTCCATGCTTCACCCTTTTCTGTCTCGTATAGTCGTTTATAAAATGAAAACTAATAAGTAGTATCTCATAGGGCTGCTGTGTATATTTGTTAATATATCTAAAGTGTTTATCAATGCCCATTACCCAGCGCTCAATAAATACTAGCTATTGCCTTAATCTCTGGGAGTGGGAGCGCCTAGGACAGTTGGAGACAGTAGGCCAGTAAACGTGCACTTGGGAATATTTCCACTATTAACTTTGCGTTCTCATTCTGGTAACGCCGAGGGATCAGGTAGGTTTGAGAGTCTCTGAACGTACCTGGGCGGTGATAGCGTAGACACTCATCCTTTTCTGGGCTGAACCCTTCCCATCAGCCACCGGGGGCGCTGGAGTCACCTTAAGTGTGCGGCCTGGGGCCTGGAGCAAGCCTCGGCTAAAACCTCGGTTTCCCTGCCGCTATGGGAAGCAAGACTTCAAGGTCCCAGGACCTTCCCGCGCGGCCGGGCGCCGTGGGAGGCGTGGCTTCCCACTTAACTCCAGGCTGGGGGCGGGGTCGGCCAGGCCGCGGACATCACCGGCTGGATGTGGCGGGTCGCGGGAGAGCGGAGGGTGGAGCCCCAGCCCCGGGCCCCGCGGAATGGAGGCGGGTTCGGGCGCGGCTCAGAGCGAGGTAGATCGGCTGCTGTAGCTGCCGCGGCGGTGATCGAAGAGCGGCCGAACCCCTGCGACCCGTGGCGGACGTTCCGCGATCCAAATGTCCGGCTCGCGGAGCGAGGTGGGCGCACGGCTTGGGGCCACCGCTGCGGCTGGCATGGAGCGGTGGCGGGACCGGCTGGCATTGGTGACGGGAGCTTCGGGGGGCATCGGCGCGGCTGTGGCCCGGGCTCTGGTCCAGCAGGGACTGAAGGTAGTGGGCTGTGCCCGCACTGTGGGCAACATCGAGGTAAGTCCCCACGGTGGAGAGGGTCGTTCTGGGAGGCGTCGTTTCCGTCGCGGTAGGGTCTGGGCGGGGGTCTTTCCTTGCCCACCACCCCAAGGCCATTTGCAACGGGATCAGAGTGGGAGGGAGGGATACCTAGTAGGGCAGGCCTCTCCCTTCCCATTTATTTAGAAAGACCCGTCTTTTAAGGAGCCCCTTCCTACTCCTGACAGCCTCTACTCCAGTGTACCAAATCTCTGAATAACTGGCATCTTTCTCCCTATCTGCCTGCGCCGGTAGGCTGAGGAAAGGGGAAGCCAAGGAGAAGGAAAGAAAGCTCTCTGGCCGCAGAGGCTAAATTGGCTACTGGCTGTTTTCTCTAGTCCCCAGACCTGACCCACAAAGTAGAGCAAAGTGGCTTTTTTTTTTTTACCCAGGACTGAGGGTGGGGTTGGGGTGGGAATGGAGCTTCTCAGAAGAGATTTGCCCTCTCCTCACCCCCGAATTTGAGGGTTAACCCTTACCCAGGGGGATATTTACAGATAGACCTTTCTCCAATTTCACTGTCCTAGGTGGGACTGAGTAGGTGAAATAGGGCAGGGAATATGTGAGCCCTGAGGGGACAAAGTAGTATGGAACTGGAACTGCCGGTTTTTCTCTTAACCTGGGGTTGGGAGCCCCAAGATGTGAGCAACAAGAGCTCAGAGAAAAATGAAATCAAGTTGGCCACATTGTAACCGGAAGGAAGAAGATGAGAAATTTCCATCATAGGTCATCTTTGGATTTGCTCCTGGCAGGACTCACTCTCCGGGTTTGAGCCAGTGCTTAGCTGAAGGTGTGGGAGTGAGCACTACCTTCGCCATTGCTCAGAGTCCCTGCGCAAGGAGGCCTTGGGTGGGGACAGAGGGAGAAGGTGTACTGGAAGGAGGACTGTCTCCTCCCCTGCTGCTGACCAAAGGTACACTTTATAGCTAGCTGCCTAGATAGTCCCAAGGTCACCCAGCCATACCACTGCCCTACTCTACACCTCCCTTTCTCTTAGTATGAGGATCTCAGGGCCCAGCCCCTGCCTTGGAGCCTAGATGAGCAGACCAGGACTTAGACCGCTGGATTCCTTAATTCTAAAGCCACTGCTGCCTTCTCTCCCTACTCCCCCACTCCAAACTAGCTAGGAAGGGGGGGGGTCCCTAATCTCCAAGGGGACCCCAGGCTGCTCACCAGCCCCAGGATGACTCCTTTAATGAGAGAGACATTCCTGTGCTTTGAGGGGACAGACATGGTTTCAGGTCATTTCTGAGGATAAATGAGGGCAGGTGGGACAATCAGAAGGCAGTGACAGGGAGCACTATGTCCCCAGGCCCTCCAATCTGGCTTTCCTGTGGGGATTTGAGTCTGGAGATGGGAGGGAGAAGTTGTATGCCAGGGGAAGGGAGAATCCCAGGGTTCCTTAGTTTGCTTTTATCGATGGATACTGAAACAGTTTGAGTTCTGGCCTCCAACAGAGAGAAGCCCTGTCTCCTGAGGTGACTGTGAGTAAGTGAAAGGGAGCCTTCTAGTCCCAGAGGATCATACCTTTTGAACTCTAGCAAAGTTAAAGCAGAAAAGTATCTCTAGGTCACTTGATCCAGCCCTTTATTCCCATCTCGATTTGGGGAGGAAGGGGTTCGAGGCCAGGGCAGTTGGCCCAGCTGGCCTTCCTCTACAGCACCTCCTACCCCCAACTCTCTTCCTCCCACACAGGTACAGTCACCTTCACGAGGCTCAGACACCCAGAAACTGGCCTCCAAGGCCACATAGCTTGGTTTCTTCCTGCTTCTGAATGACCCCATCCCTCACAGCCACCTCCTAGTGGCTCTGCTTCCTCTGGTCTGTCTCTGGGCTCCTCCGTGTGCTGAGGTCCCTGTTGATACACTTGGGCTGCCCAAGGTCACCTGCCACCTGACTTGCCTCATCATATCCCCCAAAATTTTAGGGTAGAGGATGGTACCATGTGGGACAGAGGAAAAGATCTGTCTCAACTTCCTCGCCTTTCCTAGAGGTAGGGCTAGGGGAGACTGGCAGTTGGGCCCAGCTTGAAAGCCAACAGGCTGCAGTCTGTGGACAGAGGGGGACAGCTCAGACCTAGGCCTTCTGGGAGCAACTAGAGGAGGGAATGGAGAGGAAAGAATCCCACAGTAACCGGCTCAGTGACTCTTGGCACTGGTGGAAGCAGCATGGGGTGGGGTGTGGGGTGCGGCTCACCTAGGAGCACAGAAGGAGTTCCCGTTGGAGGAGAGGCAAAAGAAAGAGAGGCCACACTGTGCCTAGGACCCCTTCTCCGAACTGAAGACTCAGTTTATCAGGAGATTGCTCCATTGACGATCTCAACTCCCCTGGGTGCCCCTCACTCTGGGGGACTTTGACCAAAGAGGACAATTAGTCCCGATGTCTGTGTGGCTGGAAGGTGGCTGCCAGAGGATCGAGTTGTCTGAGTGGTGACAGCAGAGGAAGGTTGTCTTGGGCGGGAAGATGTCGGAGTGAGCAGCTCACCGCAGTTAGCCCCCTGTTGGGTTTCATAGGAGCTGGCTGCTGAATGTAAGAGTGCAGGCTATCCTGGGACTTTGATCCCCCACAGATGTGACCTATCCAGCGAGGAGGACATCCTCTCCATGTTCTCGGCTGTCCGCTCTCAGCACAGTGGTGTGGACATCTGCATCAACAATGCTGGCTTGGCCCGGCCCGACACCCTGCTCTCAGGCAGTACCAGCGGCTGGAAGGACATGTTCAATGTAAGAGCTCCAGGCCTGGAGGAAGGGGCTGGGGGTAGGGCGGGGAGCCGGGGCTCTGTGAACCAGAGGGCTACTTGCGGGGGGTGGGGGGGTCGGGTTTCTAGTGCGAGGGAGCTTCAGGTTCATACCTGGGGCACCTTGACTCCCCCACCTTGCTTCTTTCCCTACCAAAGGCAGAGGGAGAGGAGGAGTGGCATGTCTTTTCTGTTCTTTTTCCCTTTGAGCCCCTTAAAGGAGCAGTTTTTAAAGTCCAGGCTGATTTCCTCCTACTGGAAGAAAGGCTTAGGGAAGAGAACTGCTTATTGGATGCCCTCGTGTGTCAGTACCATGCTGTGCTTGGGAACGTGGTCTTACAGGAAGCAAAGGAGCCGAAAGACAGGAGACGAGGTTCTTGCCCGGCCCTGCCTGTCACTGTATGGCTTCGGGCCTCCATGAGCTGCAGTCCTGTCGTGCTTAACTGCGGTGAACACACCTATACCATCAATATCTAGGGCCGCAAACTCCAGTGTCCCCTGGGGCTGCGTAAATATGTAAATGAGTGAGGTGGGCCAGGTGGAGTCTGCAGTAAATGGGGGAGCACATGGCCAAGTACAAGGGTAGCTGCTGACGTCCAGCATCGCCGCAGTAGTGTGGTGTGGGGCCGGTGGGAGCAGATCCTAGGGTTTTTATAGGACATCCTACGCCTCCCATTTTCCAAAACCTCAGCTCCCTAAGGGGGAGGATTTTTTTCTTAATAAAGATTTTTTATTTATTCATTTGAGAGAGACTGAGCGAGCAAGAGCATGAGTAGAGGGGGGAGGACAGGGGGAGAGGGAGAAGCCGGCTCCCCGCTGAGCAGAGAGCCCAATGTGGGGCTCGACCCCAGGACCCCAAGATCATGACCCAAGCTGAAGGCAGATGGCTAACCGAGTGAGCCACCCAGGTGCCCTAGGGCAAGGATTTCTGTCTGGTTTATTCTCTGTTATGTAGCCTCAGCCCATAATAGATATTCAGTAGATACTCAATAGATATTTTTTGAGTGAATGAAACCTTCCAGCACATGTTGGGAGTGAATTAAAAATGTTTTAAAATTTCATATGGACCAAACATAACTTTCAGGACATGGGTTTTTCAACCTGTAGACAATATTAAGGGGCAATATTAGGGTATAAAAGTATTCTGAGAAGTTGAAAGCAGTGTGTGCATGGGGACACATCTTTTCGCACAATTGGTTTAGCACCTAAAAGGTGGGCCTGGAAATGAACAATGAAAGTTGGAACAATGAGCTGTGAAAATGAGGCCTTCTGGGAGATCTGAGTTGTGGTCCTCACCTGCAGGAAGTAGGTCTCTAAACCTGGACCTCAACTTCCACATCTGTAAAATGAGAGACTTACATCAAAACCTTAAGACCCTTTCAGCTTCAACATTATATAAGCCTGTTAGGATTGTCTTCCAAGACATTTCTACCCACACCCCACCAGACTTCGGAGAATCACTACTCCCGGTCCAGGGAACATGTTTCTCCCACTCTGTGTGTCCTCATGGTTGAGTTCTCTGCAGAAACATACATTACTCAGAAGCCCAGAAACAGGGCTGAAAGCCTCTCGTGAAGCAGGTTCACGCTGGGAGTGATCTGTCCCGATGCCCGGCTCAGACACCTGATAAACAGAAACTTACCTATTGTCTTGGCTGGTCTTGTTCCTTCTCGGGAGGAGAGACATGAGGACCTGCTGAAAGCTTGTCCTCATGGCGGGAGAGGGGACACTTGGCGGGAGCTTCAGGCCTTTGTTTCATGAAGGGTAGGGATTTGGGGTCACTTCTGGCAGAAGCCATGGAAGACAGAAAGCCCCCATGTGCTTGGGGGGTCCCCTGCAGTCCTGTGACCAAGGACCCACCCCCTAAAAAACCTCTGTGCCGAGTCTGTTCCGAGATGAAATAGAGGGTAAAGGAAGGTGCAAAAGGAAGGAAGGTCAGGCCTTCTCTTGCTGGAGTCGCAGGGGAAGGGACCGGAAGGGAGCAGAAGGTCCTCGGTAGGGCAGGGAGAGGCTAGGGTCTGTGCCTGAGGACAGAGATTTTTACAGCCATCTTAGGAAGGATTGTAGGCTTTTTAAAGAGAGCAGGGCCAGGGACATAGACCCAGAAAGGAGTAGGGCATTTGGGGAGGAAAAAGAGCTGGTTCTCTAAGGCAGATATTCTACTGTTTGCAGAGGAGACAGCCAAGACAGGGAGGTTTCCGGGGTCATGCATGGGTTTGGGGGGCTTCCATTCCTGTTTACAGAAACTGGAGGGAGAGAGGGTCACCTCAGGAGAGGAGCTGCCTGCAGTCAGCTGGGTCTGGTGGCTTTAGGGGGAGGCAAGGTACTCTGGAGCCATTGGTGGTCTCTGATAGGCCCCAGACACTGTTCTGGAATGCCACTCCCCTGGGCGGGAGGTGCTCTGAGGCTCTTTTACCTGCTCAGATGGGCCTGAGCTGGAGATGCCCCATTGCCCTCCCCGGCCTGCAGGTGAACGTGCTGGGCCTCAGCATCTGCACCCGGGAGGCCTACCAGTCTATGAAGGAGCGCAAGGTGGATGACGGGCATATCATTAACATCAACAGGTGAGGCAGGTGGCCAAGGGCTAATGCTCAGATCACCACTAAGCCACTGAGCCAGCTGATCTGCTGTAGCTCATCTGACCTCTTTGGGTGTCAGTTTCATTGGTGGTAAAGTAGGGACTGAATACCCCGTTAATAGCCAAATGGCACAGTTACGGGAAGGGACAGAATAGGGTATATCGAGTGCCGGCCCCTAGCTGGCCTTCCAGGAAGCACAGGGCTGGCAGGAGCGGCTGGCATCCCAGAAGCTACCATAGCGGGCCCCCAGGATGGCCTCCAGTGGGCGCCCCGGGCCAGCTTCCGTGCGGCATCCCAGTGGCAGGGCTGCCTGACGCAGCAGCAGGGGCCTTGGTTGCTGTCAGCAGCTTCACTCTCTTCTTTCCCTTTCCCTCCCTCCACCCAGCATGTGTGGTCACCAAGTGTCACCCCACTCCGTGATCCATTTCTATAGTGCTACCAAGTACGCTGTCACCGCGCTGACAGAGGGACTGAGGCAAGAGCTTCGGGAAGCCCAGACCCACATCCGAGCCACGGTGAGGGCACAGCCCAGCCCTGCTGGGGACAGGGTGGGAGCAGGCACTCCCCACCCCACACGCATGCTGTTTTGGTGCGCTGCTTGGACCGTGAGGGGCGCAGCGCTGTGCTGCCACTTGCATGACCCTGCCCAGTCCTTGCCTGTGAGCGCGGCAGGGGCTGACCGGAAGGGAGCACAGTGGAGGAGACTGAGGGAGGAGAGCAAGGGGCGTGGGAAAGCATGGCTGGCCACCCGGACTCTGAGCTCTCTCCTCGAAGGCCGCAGGACCCTGGGCGGCTCACTCAGCCCCTCCAAGCCTCAGCCTTCTCACTCGTAAAATGGAGACAATGACCCCTACCTGGCTATGAAGTTTTAAGGGATACTGTCGTAAAACCCTTAACCTGATATGGGCTCTGTGGGTGGCAGGTGTCACTGTGATCATCACAGCTTGGGGAGGACAAGGTGGCTGCTGGACATCGGGTAGCCACCATGGGGAAGGAGGGGGCCTGGCTGTCTCCATCCTGCCCTTCCCAAGGCCTGGCTTCTGACTGGATGGAGGTGGAGCTTGGCTCGGCCCCTGAGCAGGTCCTCTCTGTTGGTGCAGTGCATCTCTCCAGAAGTGGTGGAGACACAGTTCGCCTTCAAACTCCACGACAAGGACCCTGAGAAGGCAGCTGCCACCTACGAACGCATAAAGGTGGGCCCTCTGTCTGGGACGGATGAGCCACTCACTCCCTCCATAAAGGCAGAGGGAACCCTGGCCTTCAGAACACACCCTTCTAGCCAGCCTTTCGTCCCTCCCAGAGGGCTGGGGTGGGGGTGAACATGCTGGAAAGGATGTCAGGGGCGGGAGGTCCATTCTGCTTTCACCTCACCCCTTTGCTCCGGTACTTTCCAGTGTCTCAAGCCTGAGGATGTGGCCGAGGCTGTCCTCTACGTCCTTAGCACCCCTCCACACGTCCAGGTGAGTCTGGTCTTGACTGCCTCCACCCTGGAAGAGCCCAGCCATCTCAGAGGAGGACAGCAGGGAGGCCTGAGGGGGTGGGGAGAACGTCCCAGCTGCCTTAAGCCTTGTGCCTTCCAACAGATTGGAGACATCCAGATGAGGCCCACGGAGCAGGTGATCTAGTTTCCTGGGGGGCGCTCTGCCTTCCCTCCCTGCCCCTCACAGCTTGGTTCCTGCCTCTGGATTTTAGGTGTTGATTTCTGGACTCCTGGATTCCGTTTCCTCTCCCCACCCCACCAGGGCCTAGAAAATTCGAAGTTTTTATATCTTATCAAATTGTTCCCATCACAAATATGAACAGTGAGCTGGGGAGAGGAGGTGGTGTCCCTGATTATTTTACCTGTTAACTCATTCTCGGTCCCCTTCTTAGGCTCCTTGGCCTTTGTTTGCTCTCTTCCGTCTCTTCCTTTTGATCTGGGGAAGGGACTGTCCCTCAGCAGGAAGGTGGCAGACAGAAGCCCTCACCTTCTATGGGAATGGCTATCCAAAGCTCCAGGCTTTCTCCTCTCCTGGCCCTACTGCCCCCATCGCCCCCTTCACGTCCCCCATCCCAGTTCTCCAGCCCAGTCTTGGCTTCTTGGCTCCCACCGGGGTGATCACTCCACACTGACTGTGGCAGCTGAATACTGGGGCCTGCCTCCCAAGTGGATTTCACTGTGAGAATTAAAAAAGAAAAATTGCAACAACCTACCTTGGCTTCTGGAGTGTCTTTCAGTTCTTCCTCCTTGTCTGTGATCGGGGGCGGTTGTACCTCAGAATTTATTCCAGGTGAGTGGGAAGTTGGGTGGATTTGGGGCATCACTCCTGGAATGTGGATTACCTTAGGTAGCAGACGTGGGTTTGGGTTGAGTCTTGAAAATGGGTAGGAGTTTGCCAGCCAGGAAAGGGGACAACAGTGGAGACCAGGGTGGGAGTCTGACTGAGCAGGCAGTGTTGTGGGAACCACATGGAACAAACACAGTGCGGTGGTGAGACGGGGATGGAATGGAAGCTCCTCCGGGATCAGCCAAGGTCTGAGTGCCGAGCAAGGAGACTGCCCGTGACCCGTGGGCTGTGGGCCAAGGGCATCAGTTGGCTTATCAGCAGGCGTGGGACAGGCACAGAGCTGTCACTTAGAGAATCAGCCACCACGGGATAGGAAGCTACTGCTGGGATCCCGCTGACGGATGCTGAGGGTTTGACAGAGCAGTGGAGAGGCTGGGATGCAGAAGTTTCTAAGGAAAATCACCAGCACCCGGGCGGTGGGCTGGATGTTGGGAGGGAGTCACCCCCAGTGACCTCGTTGAACACCTGGCCTTTGCTGGTGCCCCGGTGAGTGTGGCCCTCCAGCCTCAGGGGCCTCTTGGGACCTGGAAGGGCGTGGAACCGAAAGGGTGGCTCAGCGGGCGGCGGTTACAGGGGGCCACTGCTCATCCAGCCCTGTGGGAGGCGCTGTGGGCACGGCCTGGCGGCCAGGCTCGCGCAGTGCGTCTGCGGGCAGGGGGCGGGCCGCCTGAACCCGGAAGTGCGGTAGCCCACGTGGGAGGCGGGGAGGGGCCTGCTGTGGTTCTGCTCCCTGGTTCTGGATAGTCTTTTCGACTGAGTCCAGACCTTTGGTCCCCTTCTCCGTACTGGGGAGCCGGGAGCGGGCACCGGCGGGAGTGAGCGCTCCTGATGACGCTGCAGGGGCAATGGCCATGGCACTGCTCTGGGCCGTCGGGGTCTCGAGTTGGGGTTGCTCGGGTCGCCACCTCGCGCGTCATTTCTCCCGAGCGGCGGGGCGTGAGGAGCGGCCAGGCGGGGAGGAGCTGAGACGCCTGCTGTTGGATGACCTGGCGCCGACTCCGCGCTCTGAGCGGGGACTGGAACTTCTGTTTGGCCTGTCCCCTTGTCTCCTGGCCCTGCGGGCCGCCCGTCGCCGCGTGGCCAGGCTCCTGCTCCAGGCCGGCAGGTCCGGGTTGCAGGGAGAGCGGGCCGAGCTGCTCCGGGTGGCAGAGGCGCGGGACATCCCAGTTCTGCGACTTAGACGGCAGAAGCTGGACGCCGTGTGCCGCTCCCAGGTCCATCAGGGCGTCTGCATGGAGGTCAGCCCGCTGAAGCCTCGGCCTTGGATGGAGGTCGGGGAGGCGAGGCCAGGCGACGACCCCCAGCAGCTGTGGCTCGTCCTCGAGAGGCTCCAGGATCCCCGCAATCTTGGGTCCGTGCTGCGTTCTGCTCACTTCCTCGGAGTGGATAAAGTCATCACCACCGGGAGAAACAGGCACGGTCGTCCCTTACTCCCCATGTGCCCCAGTTTGGGGCGCAGCCGAGTTTCTAAGCTCCTTGATCCTTGATTCCTCAGCCAGCCCTCCCCATCGCCAGAATTGTCACCCTTAACCCTTGGGGGGCCAGGGGAGGGCAGGGCAGGGCACCGGGGTTGAGATTTCCCAGCTTAAAGCGGGTCGTGGGGAAATTTACAGCTGCCCGCTCACTCCAGTAGTCAGCAAAGCGAGCGCCGGGGCTATGGAGGTGATGGACGTGTTCTCCACTGATGACCTAGCCGGTTTTCTACAGGTAATGGCGGGGAGGGGGGCGGTGAGTAAAAGAACAGAAATGAGCCAAGCTCAGTTTCTCCGAGGGCACTCATCTAGCCTCTGATGGAGGAAGGGGAGGATGTTGGCATCGTTCCCTACGTCCTTCCAAATCCCTTTGGGAAGGGAGGGATCCTGGAATTTTCGAAACCATAAATAGAGCAGAATCTGAAGTTAGAGATTTCCTAGCTTCGTTCCCTTTACCTCACTCCTTCCCCAGGCGTACCTCTTGCCCCTGAGGCTAGTGTACCTCAGAGCCTCACTGCCTTCTCAGTAGGTTGTCAGGAAATGGTTTTTTTTGATCAGCTGTGGGAAGCTGGTGGCCAGGAGTCCTGCAGTAGGGGCCCAGCTTGAAAGGCTGTTTGAACAAGGACAGACTAATCTATGCCTTACCCCTCCCTCTGCCCCCACAAAAAAAAAAAAATCAAAAACCCAAACAAACCACCACCACCACCAACAACAACAATAAGAAACAACTTTGATATCCAGGAAGGGGTAAACCTAAGAAACCCCACTCCTGGTCCAGGTTTCGGTCTTCAGCTGTGCTTCTCTTGTTGGACACAAGGGGGCAGTCTTGCCTTGCCTTTGGCGGCTTCCTTGACCAGCCAACCCCCTCAAGGCTTCCAGGCCCAGTCCTTGGATCTGTTTCCTTATGTGTTCATTTCTTAGTTTCATCCAGTCTCAAGGCTTTAAATTCTACCTATACTTGGATGCCTCCAAGGTGTACATCCTAGCCTGGATCTTACTCGTGAGCCCCAGATTGAACAGCTGCTTTTGTTAACAGAGGGCATTTCAAACTCCCCATTTCCTTCTCTAGGCTTGCCCAGACCAGGCAAGGGCGACTGCATCCCTTTGTTTAGGCCTGGAGCCGTGATGGCCTTGATTCTTCTTCCTGCTCTCCCACCCCATGGCCCACCTACCCGCAGATTCTTTTGGTTTTACCTTGAAGTTATTTTTGTATTCCCACCAAGCCTCCCCATTGCTTCAGCTCCCACTCCTGCCTCTCTTGCCTGTATTAGTGTGGAAACGATCTCACCAGGCTTCTTCTCCTGTTGGCTATCAACATAGCTGGGAGAGTGAGTCTGTTGGAACATGTTAGACCATCTTACCTCTGCTCAAAACCTTTCAAAGCCTTTACAGCTCTCCCAGAGTAAGAGCTAAAGTCCTCCCAGTGGCCTTTGTGGTCCTGCCTTAGGTGCCCCTTGTTTCCCTCTCCAGTCCCAGCTGCTCCCTCCCTGCAGGCCACCACCTTGCCGTGTGCTGTTCCTCATAAGCACCAGCCTCTCAGCCTTTGCATTTACTCATCTCTGCCTAGATTCTCCCTCTTCTTCTCCTTCTTCTTCTTCTTTTTTAAGATTTTATTTATTTATTTGACAGAGAGATCACAGGTAGGCAGAGCAGAGAGAGAGGTGGAAGCAGGCTCCCCGCTGAGCAGAGAGCCCAATGTGGGGCTTGATCCCAGGACCCTGAGATCATGACCTGAGCCGAAGGCAGAGACTTAACCCACTGAGCCACCCAGGCACCCCTGCTGTCCAGTGTCACCTCAGTGAGGCCCACCCTAATCACCTTTCTGCTGGGTGGCTGGGATTTTGGCCTGTTTCGTTCCCTGCCCTGTCCCCAGAGCCTAGAACAGAGCCTGTCCATTCTAAGGGCTTAGTAACTATTGACTGAATTGAGGGATCAGTGACTATACGGGCAAGTCCAGCCCCTCTCCTGGGGCTCTGATGAAAGTTTGGTGAGCTAGAACTTGATTTTTTTCTTTGTCAGGCCAAATCCCGGCAGGGCTGGCTCGTGGCTGGCACAGTGAGCTGCCCAGGGCCTGAGATTTCCCCGTCCTCTGATATCCCCATCACTAGCTGCTTGGAATTCCTCTGGGACCGGCCTACTCTCCTAGTGCTGGGTAGGTAGATGGCCCTGCTTTTCCGTGTTCAGATGTGCATGTCCCAAGCACCTGTGTGTCCAGCTGGGGCCTCCTTAACCCTTTGTCTTGTGCCCTGCAGGGAACGAGGGCTCTGGCCTGTCCCTGGCAGTTCAAGCCTCCTGCCAGCTTCTCCTTACCATCCTGCCTGGCCGCCAGCTGCCTCCTGGACTTGAGTCCTTGAATGTCTCCGTGGCTGCAGGTGAGTCTCCTGTGGCCCGGCTTCCTGTCCTCTGATCCCCCACGCGCAGCTCCTTCACCCTAAACAAGTTTCTCTTTCTCTGTCTCAGTCACTTTCTGTGCCAGAGGGGGAAGTGTATCCTTTCGAGGATAAAACAAGGGACTGCCAGCCAGTGGTCCTTCCTTCTCTCCATCCTCTCCCTTCCCCTTGGCCTTTTTGTCTGTTGGTGCAGGAATTCTTCTTCACTCCATTTGCAGCCAGAGGAAAGGTTCCCCTGGGGAAGGGAAGAGAGAGCACCTTCTCCAAGACCCCCGAGAACCCTCCACCACATCAGAAGGGCCTGGACTGGCGCAGCACCCAGGACTGTCCTCAGGATCAGAACAAGAGAAGCAGAATGGGAGCTGACTTGGACTGAGTTGTGTGTGCTTGAGGGCACACATACTCTCACCCTCAAATGTGCTGGAGTCTCTTACCCGAGTGTGCACCCAGGTCCCTGTTTACTAACCACTGTCTTGGGGGGCAGGGAGCTCTGCAGAAGAGACCAGAGGAAGGTTGTTTCCTGATTTGATTTTGGCCTTGTGGTTGGAGGTGGCGGCTTGTTCATCTCCAGGATGTCCTGGGCCCTG